TGTATGAAATTTATAACTGGGGATGTCTAATTCTGAAATCCTGTGTTTGGGTTGTTATAGATACTGCAACATGTAGCTATATCCATCCATCCATCCATCCATCCATCCATCCATCCATCCATCCATCCATCCATCCATCCATCCATCCATCCATCCATCCATCCATCCATCCATCCATCCATCCATCCATCCATCCATCCATCCATCCATCCATCCATCCATCCATCCATCCATCCATCCATCCATCCGTATTTCTCTCTTTCTCCATATAGGCTAATGATCGTTCACGCTCTCCGTAGTTCTCCTGTGGCGCGAGCACAGGGCGGCTGTTACGCGCCTTTAGCGAGCATGCGCGTTTCCTGTTGCTTGCGCGGTGAATCGTGCCGCCGCGCTGTGCGGAGGTGCAGGGGAAACCGTATCTGATGGGGAAACGCAGCTCGACGTAACACCAGTATTTCCATCTGGAAAACGCTGTTTTGCCGCTGGAGTCCTCCTCACTCTCCATCCTCCCCTCTCTCATGACTCATCCTCCCCTCTCTCATGACTCATCCTCCCCTCTCTCATGACTCATCCTCCCCTCTCTCATGACTCATCCTCCACTCTCTCATGACTCATCCTCCCCTCTCTCATGACAAGGCGCGCACGAGTCCTATCATGAAAAAAGGTTAATTGTGCGACCTGAGTAACGTGCGGTAACGGAGTGTCGGCAATTGTAACTGCGTTATAGTTACAGTAAGAGTAATAATTTTGATAACTTGTTACTAAAAAAGGTAGCGGCGTTAGTAACGCCGTTACTTTCAACGCCGTTACTCCTATCACTGGTCCTAACATATTCCTCAGTCTGTCATGAACTTGGCACTGAGTGGCTTAATTGCTGATTTCATTCACCTCTCTAAGGCTATGTTCACATTGCAGGCCTTGATGCTCAATTCTGATTTTTTTGCGAAATCTGATTTTTTGGCGTTTCTGTTCACATTTCCAAAAATATGCGACTTGTATGTGACCTTCTGTGTGAGCTGTGCAGTAGAGGACGCAATGACATCACAGGCCAGCATGCTCTGTGTTTACAGAAGTTAACATGGATGGTATCTAGTGATCTTTCCCAACCATAAAAACACAATCTTTGCAAGATGTTTAAACATAACCATCATAACTCTGCATTATTGTCCGCCATGGTTGCTGTTTTTTCTTGTCGCTTCTTCATAGCAAGACCCATAATAGTGACCTTTGTCGGGTATTAATGGGGTTCAGGTCGGATGAATGCGACCTGGTCGTTCAGATGCAGGTCGCATTTAAAAAAACCCAGATTCTTATCCAATTAAGGAAAACATAGCCAAGTGGCCTGGGTCAGATTGGAAAAAAATGGATCTGTGTTGTTCAGACTGCCATTAAAAGATCAGATACAGGTCGCATATGGGCCAAAAAATCGGATTTGAGTCATTTCAGGCTGCAGTGTGAACGTAGCCTAACACTGCCCGGTTTCTCACTACTGTTCATGTCATCTACCTGCTCCTGCCTCTATTTAAGTTGCTTGGACCCAGCCATCAGTGCCACATTTTCTGGAGCCTTTAGTGTTGAGTTTTCCAGCGTTACTAATAGTGTCTGATTGCCTGTTCCTGACTCGTTTCTGTATTCAGACCTTTGAGCTGGCCTGTTCTATGTGCCTGACCTGTCTTCGGATACTGTTGGATTATATTGTGGAGTGAACCTGGATCTGCCTCTTGACTTCGTTCTCTGGATTATCCTGCCTTCCTTCATCCGTTCGGATTCGAGCTCCTGCCAGTTCTGCAGCCTTCTATGTTTCAGCGTCTTAAAGGAATAGTACACCCAAAACATGATTAGCCTTCATTTTCTACTCACCCCCATGCTGAACAACACTCTGGAGTACTTTTTTGATATCTCAAATGCATCTGGAGATCTGGGAGGCTTCTTGCTGTCTGCTGACATTCAAATAATGGAGGTCTACGGTGCCCGAGGCAGAAAGGTCCATAAAAATGCACAAAAAACGTGTCAATATTCCTCCATACTGCTCGTCCAATGTATTCCAAGTGTCCTGAGTTGGTAGCGTCCATAATTTACTCGAAACGAAGTCATTTAGAATGTTTTTAGAGCATAAACAGTAGTGTATAGGATTTCCTGAAAGCGCGCACATGCGCGATCACGACGCTACGGAAGCCGGCAGACCAAACCAGATGAAAGTGCGCATTCAGCGTCTGCTCTTGATAATGCAAGCGTAGAAGAAGAAATGTGCTGTTTACCTGTGCAAATAAAGAAACAAAGAAAGAAAAATGTCTGAGGACTTCAGTGTTGAGGAAGAGCATGAGTTCTTTGCCGAGCTGAATGCGCACTTTCATCTGGTTTGGTCTGCCGCGGTTTACGTAGACTCGTGAACTCGCAGGCGCCCGCTTTTAGGAAATCCTATACACTACTGTTTATGCTCTAAAAACATTCTAAATGACTTCATTTCGAGTAAATTCTGGATGCTACCCACTCAGGACACTTGGAATACATTGGACGAGCAGTATGGAGGAATATTGACACGTTTTTTTTGGACTTTTATGGACCTTTCTGCCTCGGGCACCATAGACCTCCATTATTTGAATGTCAGCAGACAGCAAGAAGCCTCCCAGATCTCCAGATGCATTTGAGATATCAAAAAAGTACTCCAGAGTGTTGTTCAGCATGGGGGTGAGTAGAAAATGAAGGCTAATCATGTTTTGGGTGTACCATTCCTGTTCATACAGTAATCCTCCTCCATAAGATTATCATGGTCACTAACCTGTGCTTCTCTCTTGTAGAGGTTCCTGCCTTAGATGCTAAGTGTTCTTTAATAAATGCTTTTGAAGTTATCCCACTGTCTGTCTGGCCTGAATACTTGTCCCTCTGTTCTGAGTCATTAGACAGTCAATATGCACTTTTATGGTAAATTCTTTTTTTAACAAGTGAAACTAGATTCATTTTTGGCATTTTCTTTTTCAAAGGATTATTAAATAAAACAAACTGCTAAAAAAAACTGATTTTATAAAGTCTGAACTAAAGTTAAAAATCTCATAACCTGTGTTTTTTCTCTGTTGTTACCTCAGCCAAAAAAAGGCTTTTTAATTAGGCAGAGGATTTGAAGTAGGATGACCATGGGGGAAAAAAAATCCATCGAAACAAATTATGAATCCTAAGGCCTTGAAATCCAGAAATCTAATTAAACTGCTGTACAGTGTTTTATGTAGCTGGAAACCAAATCTACAAAGTTGTCAAACCACTTAGGTACAGGTTAATGCAGTGACCTGAAAGGAAACATAAGGTACTTGAACCTTTTGGTGCTACAAGTTTTCAGATGTGTTATTTCACCACGATTCTCACAGCTGTAAAACATTTTCAAAGAAAACACCAAGAGACATAAATTATGACCTTATTATTTTCCTTTAACACAAAAAAACAAGTTAAGCACATCATGTCTTGCCAGTTATCATACATTTTAATGATAGGAATATAACTGTGCATGTCTCAAATAAAAAAAAAAAACTGACCTTTCTGCTTGTTACATGTAAACATAAAAAATACCTTAACATTAAATGGCCAAACAAAAAAAAGGTCACAACTCTTCATTGAAACTCCTGCTTTAAATGCAACCTTTAGGAGACAGAAAATTCAGAAAATATCCAAAATGTAGCAAAAACCAGAAGAAAACATTTAGGAAGCAACCCTTTTTGCTTTTTTTTCATAAGCTGATTAAAACATCTGATTACAGCAGCATTAGAAAATTGATGTTTTTATTTAAAACAAGAAAAAAAAAGAAACACTAAGATTACAATGTTTTTTCTTTGATACTTTTACTCAGTACAGTCATAGTTTTTCCAGACATGGAATTAATTAACAAGAAATAACCAACTATTGATATATTTTCATAAATATGTAGGACCAGTAAATAGTCAAAATTAGTCTAAATAATCTGTAGCTGAGAAATAAACACGTCTCCAGTCTAAAAAAAACCTTAAGGGTTTTTGTTGTTAAAAAGCTCCCAGAATGAAATAGTTGTAATTATTTTAAAACAGATCTAGAGTTTTCTACTCATTTCAAGCCAACCCTAGTTCCAGTCCCTTATTGCATGCGATCCATAGTGCCTTGCAAAAGTACAACACAGACCACCATGGATTTTATTGGAATCTTATGTGATAGAGGAACACAAAGTAGTGCAAAAAAACCCCAAACATTTAGATTAAAGTTTAATAAGAATCTACGGAGCCCCTAAAGGGACATGGAGGAAAAAAAAAAACTTTTGCGAGATCCCGCGAAACTTTTGCAGGATTTCGCAAATATAAACTTTTGCGAGATCCCGCAAAACTTTTGCGAGATCTCGCAAAACTATTGCGGGATCTCGCAAAAGTATGGTGAGATTCTGCAAAAGTATTGCAGGATCATGCAAAAGTATTGCGGGATGTCGCAAAAGTATTGCGAGATCACGCAAAAAATAAACTTTTGCGAGATCCCGCAAAAAGTAGTGCAAAAAAACCCCAAACATTTAGATTAAAGTTTAATAAGAATCTACGGAGCCCCTAAAGGGACATGGAGGAAAAAAAAAACTTTTGCGAGATCCCGCGAAACTTTTGCAGGATTTCGCAAATATAAACTTTTGCGAGATCCCGCAAAACTTTTGCGAGATCTCGCAAAACTATTGCGGGATCTCGCAAAAGTATGGTGAGATTCTGCAAAAGTATTGCAGGATCATGCAAAAGTATTGCGGGATGTCGCAAAAGTATTGCGAGATCACGCAAAAAATAAACTTTTGCGAGATCCCGCAAAACTTTTGCGAGATCCCGCAATAGTTTTGCGAGATCTCGCAAAACTATTGCGGGATCTCGCAAAAGTATGGCGAGATTCTGCAAAAGTATTGCAGGATCTCGCAAAAGTATTGCGAGATCTCGCAAAAAAAATACTTTTGCGAGATTTCGCAAAAAATTTACTTTTGCGAGATCCCGCAATAGTTTTGCGGGATCTCGCAAAAGTATTGCGGGATCTCGCAAAAGTTATTTTTTTCCCCTCCATGTCCCTTTAGGGACTCCGTAAGAATCTATATTTATGCATAAGATGTATTCAGAGATGTAATTCCAAAACCCCCAAATAACATCCTGTTTATCTGATTGGTTGAAGAGGTTATCCAATTAGAAGTGATAATGAGTGTGATGTAATCTCAATTTAAATGCAGCTGTCTCTAAAACCTGCTGAGGTTCAGAGAACACCAGTAAATGAACAGCATCATGAAAACCGATGACTATAGTGGTCAAGTTCAAGATTAAACTTTTGGCTACCGGTAAGTTTATAAAAAAATATATCTTTGCAGATCTTACAGAGCAAACTAAGAAGGCAACAGTAAATGTGGAAATCTAAGTGGAAAACTATCAGCTATAGACTCCAACAAGCTGAGGCATGGGGGAAGAAATTTGTTAAAAGTAAGCCCTTTTGCAGTGTTTCTTTTATTATTAAGTATTAAATCAAGTAGGATGAATATACATACCGTACATAGTTTTTTTTTTTGTAAAGAAACAGAAAACCTCTATGTTGGCCTGTCACATGAAATGCAAAATATACATCAAAGTTTTCAGGGTTTTCCTGCTTCAGCACAGCCGATTTCCATTTATAGCTGATTAACAGACTTTTGCTGATGTGCAATAATCAGAATCATCTGTGCCGAAGCAGAGAAACCTCTAAAACTTCCAGGACAGAGATCCTCAAGGACCAACTGTGGACATGCCTGATTCAGACCATCAATGATAACTATCCTAACCAGACCAAGGGAAGGTCTTAAGAATTTCTATAAGAGAGTGAGTGAATGAAATATTCCAAAACGGCCATATTTTCTTTAATAAAATCACACACAGTTAAAACAGAACAAAAAAAACATAAATAAAGGAAAGACAATGATTAGCAAGGATCATACATTCCTCAATCATGATCAGGGATGCGTGATCCTCTTTATGCATCGTCACAGTTTGCTTTCAGACGGCCGAGGCTGACACGTGAGTGCGAAGAGCTTGGAAGTGAAAAACCTCTCCCCTCTGTGTGTGCAGCCTATTAGCCCCCTGCAGGCATTAGGTGTAGTGTGTTGGATTCCATGCCTCTACTGCTGCAGGTGTAGGCGTAGTGTGTAAAATTCCACCGGGTGATGTTAAGAGAGAAGGCCATCGTTCTAAAAAGATGTGATCATATTATGATCCACCCAGCCTTGGCTCCAAGGTTTAAAAAGTAAGGCATCGCAATCCCCCTGTGTCTGTATCATAAACCAAACTGGTCAGGTGTATAAACATATCTTTACCCTGACGCTGGGACCAAAACATGTCAAAAGGAAAGAAGCAAAGAGCTGTTACTATAGCAACGCATTTTGTTGTTTCCAAAATGGTGGATTTAATTTGACACTCCCTTCCGGGCAGTAGGGAGTGCTCCTGTTCCGTAGGTGGGTAAACATCCTTTAGATGTTTAAAATATCCAGAGGGGGTGCAGGTTGCGTGTTTAGGAGTTGCAATCAAACAGAAGCAAAAGTTATGAGCTTCCCATCCATGGTTTTAAACAGGATTACAAGTTAAGACAAGGGATCACATGGAAAAAAAATATGTAAAAGCAAAAATATTCGCTCTGAAGCCACGCATTCAGTTTAGCTATAAAAAATAAAAAAAAGGTTAACCACAATGAGGCTGCTTAATGGATTTTCGTCCGGAGAATTTAAAAGCCAAAATAGGAGCATCCCAAAGGATAAGGAATGTAAGAACTTTGGCAGGGATATGAAATGCAATAAAGATGAAGGAATAACTAAGAGCAGCAAAGGAAAATATCTCCCTAACAACATTGTGTTGTCTGAAGTCAATAAAGCTGCAGTGGGGTGTTAAGTAATTATCAAAACATTTTTTTTTCTTTCCAGAAATCCCATGTGAACATAAAACCAGACGAGAAGCCCGTGCAATCAGAAGACTGTCACCAGTAGGGTTTAAAAAAAAAAAAAAAACAGTCTTCATCAAATCTTTCTGAAGATCAGGATAGGAGTATTCTCATAAAGTTAAGTACACAACTTTAAGGTTAACTCATCAAAACTTCAAGAAGTCTGTTCATCCAAATTGTTAATCTGAACTATTTTTGCTCCTCTCCAAGGTGATTCTGGGGTTTTGAATCAGGACCCTTCTTGGAAAACTTCCTTTTAGGGATCTCGCTGAGGGAAAAGGGAATCGAGAGGTCAGAGGGAGACTCTTTCCGCGCCACAATGCAGTCCTTGATGGCCTCCTTAATAACCTTAAAAGAAACAAAACAAAACAGAAGAATTAGATACAAATTGTGATGATGCGGAAAAACCTAAAGGAGGCAATTTTGAATATTTAAGACACAGCAATATAGACAGAGACACTGTTTCAGATGGTAATAACATCAGGTTGACATCTATTTCTTACAGGTTGTTTCTCTGCTTAACTGTTTAATCTGTTCAGTCATACTAAAAACGTCAATTTAGTTTAGAATAACCTCAGTTAAGTAATCAGACAGGTTATGTTATATTTTTGTTCTTTGTCCTTGTTTTGTAATAATAATCACTTTTTTCTTTCATTTTTTTTTGCCTATTTCTTCTGCAGATGTTTCAGATTTAGTTAATTATTCTCCCTTCTTGCACTAGTGATCACTCCACTACCTGTTCATACAGCATAATCTTCAATACTTCAATGTTTTTTCAGTTCTGGTAAGATTCTCCCCTAGCCATCATCTCTCTAACTGGTTTAGTTACTTATTTTTCTTTGTGTGCCTTTTTTAGGATTTGCAACTATTAAATAAACATCTGCTTCACTATATGTTAGGAATCCAGTTTGTGTGGCCTGTTTGTGGTTCTCCATTTTCCACCACTAGGAGGTGCCCTGTCTTCGCTGTCCCTCCCTGCACACCTGCGGCTCATTGGATCATTATCGGGAGGAGTATTTGAGCAGTGGACTGTCACTACCTCGACGCCAGAGTGTTTGTCAGTTTCGGGTACTCTAGCCAAGCCGAGCTTAGCTGAGTCTAACCTAGCTTTGTTTCTCTGAGTCTAACAAGTTTTTGTTTTTGCTCCCCAGCAGGAAGCTTTCCTGTGTCACTGGATTCCTGGACCTTCTCTCCCCTGGAAGGAAAAAACGAGTTCCACTGAGCAGGGGAAAACCTCCACATGCTCCGTTCAAGTACCCATTGGAAATCCGAGTGACAGTCCGCTCCATTACTCCTCCGGGTCCAACACCTGTCAATCTATCCGCCCTCCGTGTGCGCTATTCTCTGGATTTACCACACAGACAGGATTCAAGGACTAACGAGCCCCCCCTCTAACTTCCGGGTTACCAGCTCACCGAGTTCCAGATCAGACTCCTGTTTTACCCCCTCAATTAACTAAGAGGTTTCTCTGCATGTGGGTCAGATTCGTTAAACCGATCATGACACTATACCTCCCTGCATTATGGATTTAGATAAACATCAACAATGATCAAAGTGATCTCAGGTCCAGATCTACTTTCTAACTATACAGAAAAAGCTGGGGAAAATATGCCAACAGAGGAAGTAAACCTTTAGGTAGATGGAACCATACTTTGTTGGTTCAAACTACCCGTGAACTGAAATACTATAACTATGTGGCCTGAGGTTGGCTCTCAGTGTAAAGAAAACATTTTTTTTTTTTTTGCAGAAAACAAAACAATAATCTTTGATTTTCTGCGTTGATGAGAGGTTATAAAATGAGCATTGCCCTACCAACATTTTGGGTAGCACACTGCTTAGCGGTCTTTCTTTCAGCTGAGTAATTAGTAAAACAGTTGTTTAGAGCAAACTTTTACTCTCCAAAATGGGCTTTCCTGTTTTTTAATCCATTGAGTTGATTTAAAAAGAAAGTCAATTGGTGTAATCAGGATGCTTTAGAATCATTAGTTTAAGTTTTCCAATGGATCATTTCCAAAGGGTAGTAAACTTTTTGTACAAACATGAGTAAAAATATAAGGAAAAAAAACTTGCTTGTTGAACAAGACTAAACTTAAGTCAAAGTTTCCCAGGGTGTAAATAACTTTATTCTTGACTGTATAAGGAATTAAACAAAACAGAAATACTTCCTCTTGTTCCACAGTGGGGAAATTGATCTGTGTGAGAATGAAAACATGCAGGTTCACAGATAAACTTTAACAAGCTTTAATAAGTATGGGCATTTTGAAGGTATTGCCACAGGAAACCTTTCTCTCTTAAAAATAAATACAACCATTGCTTGTACTTATCATAGTGGCCTGGCAGACTAGCTTATGCAATATATATTCAATACACACAGGCAGCCTTGGCTGTAAAAAAAGAAAAAATAGTGCTGGCAGTAGGAAGGAGGTAGAAGAGGAAGCAGGATGCTGGTCGTTATTTTAGTGCAGGGACCTTTGTGACATTCCTAGCCACTGCATAGTTATACGGTTTCCCACAATCCTTTGCATGACAGTACGTTTAGGCACACCCAGTCTCACAAAGTTTAACAAAAATAAATTCTTTCCTGTTATGTAGTGTGATACATTGAAAATGCATGCACATTCATATTCATTAGGTTATATAACGAAGAGCTTCTGTGGTTTGCTATATTTGTGTAACTTTTGTTTTTTGTAGTTCTTTTCTGGAAGGTTATAGTCCAAGTTTTAGATGCAGCATTGTTGTGCGTCCGTTGCTCAATGACGTCTTAGACTTCTTTTATTGTCATTTTGTATACACAGTGTGTACACAAAAAAAAAACGTCTGTAAGGTTGAATGCTGTTCAGATTTAACACATCAGTCTAGAGCTACTTTCATGCCGTAGACAGTGTTCTTACTGTTGACCCATTAAAAGGTGCAGGGATAGGAAAAGGAGGTAGGAGCGACTTTTTTGGTATTAAGAATCCGTCTGATTAACTTACCAGACCAAAGCAGCACAGGAGGCGGGAGTTTATGATGAGTCACTTTTAGCACCAGAATTACCCATAATGCTACAGGGCTTTTTTGCTACCATAACATACTAGATGGCAGCCACAACGAAGCAATGTTCTAATGATACCATTAATTATGGCTGTCAAAACAGACGTTTTTGTGTCACCTGACTGTGAGTGCTAATAGTCTTCCGTCAGAATAAACCATAAAATTTCCAAAAAAGAAATGCTACCTGGACAAATAACTCTGGCAAAAGCCAAACCCAGCAAATAAAGACAGACCCTCCCAACTGTCAAGCACAGAGTGGAGTGATGATAGTTTGAGTTTACATACAGTAAGCCCCATTTATACTACGCTTTTGAAATCGTGCCCAGATTGGTCTGAGCACTGTAACTGAGAGAGCTGTTGAGTGTAAATGGCACGCAAAACTGAAGCGGACCGTGCCAGACACAACCGAACCGCACTTGTTGAATGCCATAAACAAGTATATATAATATATATATATATATATATATATATATATATATATATATATATATATATATATATATATATATATATATATATATACAAAATCCACGGTTCGGTTCGGTTCACGGTTTCCTGGTCACGGTTTTTGGTTCGGTATATGTTGATTGTTAGCCTGACATGTTGGTCGTTTTGTTGTTAGCATAAACGACACGTGTTGCACAATGCTTGCACACTGTTGAACTTTTATCCACAACTTTCTTTCCTCCGTCATCGTAGGTCACTCTAAATGCAAAGTGGTCCCATACAGCAGACCTATAAAGTGCTGCTGGCGCGTCTTCCAACTCCTGTTCTTTCCCACTCGCCATACCCACACAATTCTCCACAACAACTGATTTTTTTCTGCTACACCCGGCTACACTGCTTCGCTTCTTCTTCTTCTTGTTTACTACTGGTGGTTGGCTTTGGTCGCAGTACCGCCAACTTCTGCTCTGGAGTGTAAACGCTTCGCCTATGAGAAAAAGGAGCAGCGCATGAACGCAACACACGTGAACCGAAACAGTCGAACTGAAAAGTTCGGACGGTTTTCATAAACCGTTCCATCCCTAATATATATATATATATATATATATATATATATATATATATATATATATATATATATATGCTGTGTATAGCACGGCAAAATGTCTTTTCCGAACATACAGCTTTACGAGCAAAGACGGAAGCAGTTTCGCACAAATATATTGCGATATATCTGACAAAATTGTTTTTATAAACATGAAAATTTTTTTAATAAAGCATTTTAAATGCCAAAATAATCCAATTTAATTCATTTTAATGCAAATTAAGGCCTTTAATTAAAAAATAATAATTTAATGACTTAATGATTTTTATGACCCACAGGAAAACCTTGTGATAATTCTGTCTAGCAGTGTAATGAACTTCAACGTCTGTCGTTGTTTCCTGTATCTGTAAGCCCTGATTAGACTATCGTTTGACGTATCTACTTCCCAATAGCTGACTCTGTCAAGTAAATTCACCAAAGGCCGCCTTCTTCGATTGACTGTCTGCAATTATAACCAAACTTCCTGAATGTTACGGGCTCCGCCATGTTGATTTGCTTGTTTCCCTCTAGAGAGCAGTAGTACCGTAGATCGTCACTAGTATGCAAGGAACCGTGCTAGCTTGATGTGTAAACGGTTGTAAGGAACCATCCTCGGTACGGTTTACTGATCAAAGCTCGGTTCGAACTCAGCACAGATTAGTTTTCTGAGGGTAGTGTAAATAGGGCTATACACTCCCCCTGACCTGGTTACATTGAGACTTCTTACATATACAACCAACTACTACAGAGTTAAATAAGAAGCCACTTGTCTAACAACCAAAACTTGGTTCATGCAACAAGCTTCAGTTCCAACTCAAAGTAGCAACGGTTAGGTGAGGCTTGTAATGAAATTCTCAACTGCAGTAAATCAATAAATCTACCAAATAAGCCACAAGCAGCTAAATCCTAAATAGTATTTAACAACCTGTGGTTTCCTTATTCCTCCAGTTCTTATTCAATAAACATGGGAAAGTAGGGTATTCAGATTTTTATGTTTAATTTTATGACTTGTTCTGTGCATAAAATACACATAATCACCATATCAGGTGATCATAACACGCACTCAAACATTCCTTTTTGCAGGATAATTTTGGCAAGATCGTGTAATACCTTACAGGGAAATTTGCCTGATTTAAATTACCGTCAGGTAAAATGAAATATCTGGTATCAAAAATGAATTATTACTGAGCTAGGGAGTGACTCACTGCGAGTAAGTAAGCAAATGAGACTGACCTACCACAAGCAAGTCCAAACATGCATGATCCAGGCTTACTGGGGCGTTCTTAAAATTTTTGATATTGCCCAATACTTTCTTCATAAATCCAAAACTTCCTCCTGACAGCATCGAATAAAGTAAGATAAACACTGGATAGCTGAGGCCCTGAGCAGGAATTAATTGGCCTGTGTAAGCAGTTTGAATGAATCACTCTCCAATCCCTTTGTGACCGTGTTTCTGACACACTGCAAGACTTAATACAGACAGAATAACTGGTTCCTGACTGGTACAGAAATATGATTTGTTCCAGTCTTGCAACATCACCCAACTGACCTCCAGGTTGTTTAAAGTGTTGAACTCCATGAGGTCATGAAGTCGGGTGAAAGCCTCATTGGAGTACTGGAAGTTGAAAGTGGAAAATGGTGACTCTGGGTCATCAAAGATGTCAAAATCTGCAAACTCCTTCTCCTTCTCAGTCTCTCTGGGAACACCTGTGGTCAGATTGACAAACGTGAACAGAAAGCAAAATGAATCAACTGTACGCACTTGGCAGGAATCTGTCTATAACTCAAATGACCTAAATTTAAAAAAAAAATAGCCTTAAACCAAATAGAAGCTTATGGGGGTATTATGCTTTTTCTGTACAGCTCCAAATATGTGGAACGACCTTCCAATACACATTAAATTGCTCCTTAAAACTCATATCACAGGCTTATCCTATAATCCTAGCCTGTGATTTTAAGCTGTTTTCATTACATATTTCTCTAATTCTGATTAAATTTTTCTTATTGTATTTTATGCTTCTGTGTTTATTTAATTTAGATCCTCTTGGTTGTTTAGAATGCATGTTGTTCACTGTACAGCACTTTGGTCCTGGACATTTAAGTGATAAAGCTGGATTGTATTGGACATTTATTGGTTGCTGTGAATCGGTGCTACAAACATAAACTAAACTGATTTTGATTCATCCACTCAGACAAATACAATATTGGTAAAGGTAAAGATCAGTATATGTTAATTCAAGTTATAATTGCCAAATTTTGTTTTATTCCAACAATCAGGTGTTATCTTAAACATTTGCGCTTTTATTCCTACACTAAATTTTTTGAAAATGAAAAATTAAGTCAAACTTTCAATAATTTATTTTTAATTCAGGTAAACATGATAGCTTTAACTCCAACTGGCCGGTAAGTGGCACAGAAATGCCCACCTGCTCTTATTCCATAACGTTTACTAGCCTGATGCCAGATCAGCTAATGCTAACTTTTGATCATTTCTCAGCTCTTTTCTTTATTCCTATTGGTGCAAAATCCTGTCGTATCAAAGTTGGCATCGTAACCAAAGCAAGGCAAGTTTATTTGCATTAACACAATTCATCACAAAGATCATTCAAAGAGCTTTACATGTTTACCAGACATACACATGTATTTATTTCCGCACTCTTAAAAGTTATAAAACAATTATTTATATTGAATTTTTTTCTGTAAAATTGCTGCCAAAAGATCTGTAGGTGACATTAGGTGCAGGATAGAGATTTGCTTATATGTTTAAGTAAACATCTAACGCAAGTCGTCAAGTTCATAAAGCAGGAGAACAATTTTATTTATCAAGTTAAAATCTGTAGTTATAACAGCAGCCAAATTTAACAAGAAAATCGTATTCTTGTATATTTGCTAACTGCTCTACATTAAAACATTTCATGAGTAACGTGGGAATTTTTAGGAAACTATGACTGTGTAAGTCAGACCTAGAAAACAAATGATAGAGCTACTGCAACCAGATTACATTAGTGTTTCTACAAGTGTTGCACCGATACGGATACGTATCAGGCAAGGCCCCGATCCAGTAGCCTGGGTGCCATTCCGAACTTAGTCCCGCCCACAAAGTTTGAGGTCGGGGAAGTTCGGTCTGGCTCTGCTCCATAGTAGCGCGAGTATGATCGCCCACTGTCAGGCGATCCAATCAAATTGTCAGGGCGGGCTTTATACGATGATGGACAGATGACCAACAGTAACGTAATCAACCACGTGACCAATGTGCGCTTGGGTGACAACAACAATGGCTGCCGCTGGAGAGTTTAGGTGAGTAGATTCTGCTATTAGGTCTGTTCTAGAAGATATCGACAGCAAATTAATTTTAAAAGAGGAACAGAGAAACGCGATCAAGTCTCATCTTCTTATAATAGGCGTGCAACTGCACGCTTTGATTTTTGTGGACAACAACTGTGCCTGGCTTAACATACGTCACGCACTCCGTTGCTCTTATTGGTTGTAGGTCTATCCAATTGAGTGCAGAGGCCTTTTTTTTCCTGGTTCGTCAAAACACGCCCCATAATCACAGCTCTATGGAGCAGTATCAGACTCATATTCTGACTAGAATTGAGTCGGACTACGTCAGGCTACCGATCCAGCACTAAAATGGTGGTATCGGTATTGACGAGTACCAACAAATAGGGCACAGATACCATTTTGAGAGCCAAAGTTTAATCATCTATCGTCCCCCATTCCAGGTAGGCAAATAAAAAGTTCTACGGGATTTAATTTGTATTAATCTTTTTCCTGCTTCACAAAGGTAGGCAGCAGCTTGACAAAGCCATGATGGCAATTATTTTGCATCCAAATAGTGTGCAGTTCTTCATATACAGACACAAGGGATGGAACGGTTTATGAAAACCGTCCGAACTGTTCGGTTCGACTGTCTCGGTTCGGTTCGCGTGTGTTTCATTCGGTTCATGCGCTGCTCCTTTTTCTCATAGGCGAAGCGTTTACACTGCAGAGCAGAAGGTGGCGGTACTGCGACCAAAGCCAACCACCAGTAGTAAACAAGAAGAAGATGCAAATCAGTTGTTTTGGAGAATTGTGTGGGTATGGCGAGTGGGAAAGAACAGGAGTTGGAAGACGCGCCAGCAGCACTTTATAGGTCTGCTGTATGGGACCACTTTGCATTTAGAGTGACCTACGGTGACGGCGGAAAGAAAGTTGTGGATAAAAGTGCAACAGTGTGCAAGCATTGTGCAACATGCTTTGTTTATGCTAATATCAACATGACCAACATGTCATGCTAACCCCGAAATCCCACATACTCCGTCAGCGCTCCGCTCCGCCCCGCTGCATATCGTAGAGGGCATGCGCGAGATGATTAAATTCAAAGCAGCAATTCAAAGCAGAAATGATCCAGGGTTTCCGTGGATCATTAAAAATAATTACAATTCATAAATTTTTTTTTTGATTTTTTTTCATAAATTTTTATGGCATTTCGGTGTAACAATCAACATATACCAAACCGAACCGAACCGAAAACCGTGACCAGGAAACCATGAACCGAACCGAACATTTTGTGAACCGCTCCACCCCTAATAGACACACACATCAATTTTAAAAAGGTATCGTTATGGTATCGGCATCGGCTGATACTGTACTGCCAGGTATCGGGGCCTGAAAATGACAAAGGCGCAGCACTATTTCTTACCTGTCCTGAAGAAATACCGTTATATGCCAAATGTGTTTGCTATCTACATGTAAATAGAAGAGCAGCATCTGGATCATATTTGGGACATGAATAAGAAAATATTAATAAAATTTAGTGCGAACTTAAATTTTTTTTTTTGCATTTGCAAGAATATTCATATTCATTTTAATACTCAACAAACTTTATGCATGGGATTTGAGTCTCCAAACAATGATTATTGAAATCCAAATTATTTGTATTCATACAAAAATATGTATTTTCAATAACTATTTGTTGGAATAAATGTGATGCCACGACTTGGCTTTACGGATGACCTCGTGCCGAATAAGGATGTGGTTAAATTCCCATATGTGGGTTACAAGTTGAGGTTAAGAAAGTGCAGACGCTGGATGTTCATTTGCGGTTTCATCTCCTCAGATGTTTTTTGGGTTAGAGTGAAGAAACCTCTTATGTATCATGTATAAACAGGCTGCGGAAGTAGGTGGGCAGATGGCCATCAGAATGTAAAGAAACACTAGTGGAAAAGAAGGGATTCTGTGTCTTCCTCTAGCTTCTCATGGCTGATTTGTTTATACACACAGTCCTCCCACTGCCCTGAAGGATTCCCCTGGAGCACCTGGATCCTTCGACACCAATATTTCTTGTAGATAGGTCATAAAAACCCTGAGCTTTCTCTGATTTACTATTCCCTGTATATGTAAATAGGCAACACGCATAACGTTGCCTCCTAGAAACTGCATTGAGATTAAACAGATGGTTTCCTTTTGGAGACCTCAGAAAAACAGTATAACAGTCTGCAGCTGACTGATTATGAGTGAATTCCCAGGCTGGCTCCAATCTTTATTTATGTCAGAAAATCCTGCTTTTCCAGACTCAGTTTTAAATTTTTTTTAAGTACTTTTAAAGCATGTTTACACTATAAATGCCTGAACAATATGGAAGAAAAAAAGTCTCATTGGAATCTACCTGTTTTTTGTACTCAAAGTTTTTTTAACAATGTAGTTTGAACACAGAATTTTTTTAGCACCGGATTTTAAACACTGAATGTTTCTACACATTGAATGACTTACACTGAATTTTTATGTGGTGAAAATTCAGCTGTGAAAAATTTGTTTGCCAAAACTTCGCCTATGAAAAAATTTGCCTGCAAATATGTTGACCTCTTGGTGAACTCAAGCCAAAGCAATCTACACTCAATGCAGTTGAGCAGCTTAAAGCCATTGAAATTAGCTAATTTGGTCAGGTGACACAACAGTTGGGCATAGCTTTGTTACCACATGAATGAAGCTGAATGAGGATTTTATCTTGTTAAATAGATATGAATATAACATTTTCTTACACTTTTTGGAGCTGAATTTGTTTGCAGGCAAATTTTTTGCAACTGAATTTTCATATAACAGGGTTCCTGCGGGTCCTTAAAAAGTCTTAAAAGGCATTGAATTCTTTAAAATAAAACTAAGGCCTTAATTGGTATTAAAATGTCTTAAATCAGTCTTTCGTAGGTCTTAATTTTTAAAACATCATAAATAGGATTATTTTTATCATTATTTATTTTTGTAATCTAAATAAAACATTAAAATTGACGGCTTGCCATTATTGGTTCTGTCCCGATAGCGCAACCAATAAAAGCGTTGTTGCGTCCGGGACATTTGGGAGATGCGGCATTTACTTTTTGTCTGGAAAATATGAGCAAGTGTAAATGTAATGAAAATTGTCTCCAGCCAAGAGTTTTCTCCATGGCTCAAACCAGGGAACATACATGAGGCTCAGTGGATTTTGTGCAAGAAGTCATTCAAGCTCAGAACGATGGGAATTAAGGCAGTGGAGTTGCACATGCGAAGCGCGAAACACAAAGCGTCAAAATCGAGTTACCGAGTAACAGCCGATATTTCTCAGTTTAGTTCCACCCTTGTCTCTGCAACGCCTCCACTTATCACCAAATCAAACATACTAAGAAAACGATACAAAGAAAAATAACTGCAAAAAAGACTTAGCACTGGTTATGTTGTGGCTTTAAAACTGATTTGTTTTGTTCCCTGCTAAAAAAAGTTTGTGAATTCAGTTAAATAATTGTTAAAATATATCTGTTATTTGTGTGTTTTTAGCTTTCTTCCTGTATGGGAAGCTTTTTAAAATCTGAAACATTAGTGCAGTGGTTTATGTTATAATAAACCTTTGGGTTAAGTTGTCGCAAGCAGGTTTTTCTTGTGTTTCTTGTGAATTTGGTCTTACATTTTTTATTTCAAGTGGCATTAAAAAGTCTTGAATTTAACTTGCCTTATGCTGTAGGAACCCTGGATAAAAATTCAGTGTAAGGAGTTCAATGTGTAAAAAAATGAAGTGCTTAAAATTCGGTACTAAAAACATTCAGTGTTTAAAATACTTTGTAAAAAAAAAAAAATATGTGTTTTAAATTTGTTGTACAAAAAAAAGGCAGATTAATGATTGTGCTTCAAGACTCTCTAGGAGCCTTGAATTAGCCACATTCTGTAAATAAAAGTCTCTTTTTTTTAGCACCAGTGGCGATTTCTCATAATACTGGGGAGGCTATTCCTTCCCTGTACATTTTATAAAAGACCTGGTGAAATATGCATTGTAAAACTTCATAAATGTAGCCACTACAATGAATTAAATGTGTGCTAAAATCTCCCTCCACTCAGGAGCAGCAGGACACTGCCTGTAAGTTGGGCTCCGTCACTTCCAGTAAGGTTTAGCCTCCAATGGGTTCTATGGAGCAGGGGTAGGAAAATTAGCCCTTCCTGCAAATGTGAATGTCTGTATATTTGCACATGCTCACCAGGTGCTTTGAATTGCCTGAAGTTAATGTTGACCAGGACAAAATGGATCACGGTTGGGCAGTTCTTCTCCCCCTTCCTGGGTTTAAAGACGTAGCATTCCTTCAGACCCTCACGATCAAACACTTTAGGGTCAATCTTAGGAAACGGAAGCTTGTTCATTCTGGCCCACTTTTCAGCTAACAGCAGCTCCTGTGGGACATTTTTACAGATTAGATAATGTTGTTGACACTTTAATCCAGTGGATTTATGAGTTTTCATGCCTTAAATGGAGGGCTGGAGTCGCTCGGTCGAGCAGAAAAATCAAATGAGATGATGAGGTCAACGCCGCGCTGCTGCCGCAGGATGAGAGGATAGGGAAGGTTGTAAGTCAGTCCGCTGTCTACCACATGGATCTTCTTACTCTTCACATCCAGAGGCTCGTAAATACGATCAAACTCATCTGGATCTACAAACAAAACACAAGACCCAACTTCACACTCATGCATGTGTCACTCAGACATTTTTTTATTGGAGAAAGGAAAGTACAACATTTGAAATCAACACAGGAATGAAAAAAATACCCATCTGAGTCATATTGACCAACCATTTATGGTGATTCAACTAAAGATGATCCACCAAAAATCTACAGGATATGATCTTATTTCATACCAGAGAATTCCTTTTAACAAGGCTGAGGAAACCGGTTCAACGGAACCATAATATTTGCTCTCGGTTCCAATTTATCGCAACTTACCCAGGCAGCCATTTTTATTCATTATCAAGACACTTCAAAGCACTGGACATTAAAAAACAAGTATAGTAGAAAAACACAGAGTATATTGTATGGGCATAAAGGCAATTCAATAATTAGTGAATAGGAATATTTTAAGGGAATAAAAATGTATTATTAAAATGAAGAGTGTTAAAAATGAACAAAAGCATGAGTAAATATACTACAAACTTAAAATAATAGAAGTTTAGATAGCAAAGTCAAAGGTCAGTCTAAACAAGTTAATTTTTCATCCCAATTTAAATAAACTATTATAGTTTTCTGGGGGCTTGTCCAGAAAACTATGATGGGGGATTATCTGAGGCTGCTCAGTGGCACAGTGGATAGCACTGCTGCCTTGCAGTAAGAAGGTTCTGGGTTTGATTCCTGGCCTGGGTTCTTTCTGCATGGAGTTTGCTTGTTCTCCCTGAGCATGCGTGGGTTCTCTCCAGGTACTCCGGCTCCCTCCCACAGTCCAAAAAAAAAAAAAAAATGTGCGGTTAATTGGCTTCTCTAGATTCTCCTTAGGTGTGAGTGTGTGCGTGAATGGTTGTATGTCCTGTTTGTCTCTCTGTTGCCCTGCGATGGACAGGGTGTACCCCACCTCTCACCCATTGACAGCTGGAGATAGGCACCCTCGTGACCCCAATTGGGACAAGCTGGGGATGGGAATGGGGGGCTTGTCCCAAATTAGTGTGGAATAACAACTGAAACCTGCTTCTTGGTATTTTGGTTCTGAGTAAGCAGAGTAGCTTAGACCCAGAAGACCTGAGTGAACCGCTGACAACAAGTCGGTAATGTATTTTAGAGCTCAGACATTCAGGGATTTATAGACTAACAGAAGGAGTTTAAGTGCTGATGAAGATTCTCAGTCATCCAGGTCAACAAATATCCACTGGACTTGGTTTCTCAATTCAAATGTGTTTGACTTGAGAAAGCTTCCTGGAGAGGTGGCGAAACGTCTTCAAATCTTGGAAGACTTATTTTTTTAATTTTTACAAAAGGAGTTTAAGTCTATTTTAAATTTAATATTTTGGGATCATTTGCACATTAAAATAACAATACCTCAGAAAACCTTTAAATGTTGTCAAATTGTGTTATATTTGGGTTATTTTTATGCTTTTACTTGCAAACATATTTAACAACCCTTTCTAATTCTACTGATAAAGCCTGTTCAATGTTGAAATTAAAAATGGTGCTCAAAATAGTATTGGGTAGCAAATATTTTCCAGGGTATTAAAATTGAACTTTTTATATTTGCATTGTGACAAACCCTAAGTGAACATTTAATTCGGGTTGGCAAAATAAAAACCAAAAACATACAACCATATAAACTATTTAGAAATGATAGAAACATAAGCCTTTTGAGTTATAAAAATTGGATCATTTGAAGCAGGAGAAAGCAGACTGTGGATTGTAATAAAAAGGAAAAAGGAAACATCAACTCTCAAAAGATTCATCTGGTGTTATGAACTGATTGCTAAATCTGCCATAATCTGGTCTTTAATTTCCTTCAGTAGAGCAGAAACTATGTCGATATCAAGTTGAACAGTAAAGCGTGAATCATAAATGTTTTTCCTACCTGTTACAGCATCCACTTCCTCTTCAGGTGTTGATTCAGGAAATTGAATTTCAGGTACAGGAGAGAAGGGGATAGTGGTGTTCAAGTTCAGACCCAGCATGAAGTTATGCACCTGGTAAAGCAATACAAGGGGATTATAGAGGGAAAAAATTCTCCTTGTTTTGACCCAAGAAAATATTTCCTCTTTTACATAAAGTACCTTTCCAGCACGGCCCTCTCTTGTGTTGAACAGCGAAGAGTCACTAAAAAGTGAAGTGAACATTCGCTGAACCCAGCTGGCCTGAGCAGTGCGGCTAAACTCCTCCTCCGCTTCCTGGTTCTCTGTCCCACCTAAAAACCAAAATAACGCAAAAAATTACCGCATCTACGACTCATTTATTAAAAACCAGGTCTATGAAAGGTAGAGTATACAAACACAAATATCTGACCTTTTACATAGAGTATTGCTTTCCTCTAGAACCCCCATTTTTTTTGCGATGTTTAAAATTCAGACAAAACAATCCTTCATCCTACACCCATAGAGCTAGTAGCATAAAAGTACATTTTTGAAATGCAAACATGTCTTCACAGTTTCCCTTATTACTGCTTACTGCTTCGATTCGGGTTGGATTTCTCATTGAATCAATAAAAGGGAGCTTAGAGCAGGCTTTTAACTAGCAATGCGTAAAAGCGTACATTGTATGCCCTTGCTGATGAAGATTCTCAGTCATCCAGGTCAAAGTCATTCCGTAAAAGTTCAAAAAATATCCACTGGACTTGGTTTCCAAGATTTGAAGACGTTTCGCCACCTCTCCAGGAAGCTTTCTCAATTCAAATGTCTGGATCCGCCGTGAGTTTGAGTCTTTATATAGACAAGGCCTTGTATCGCTTGGAAACATGCAAATGGTAACCGATGAGTGGGTCGTTTGGTTCCATTGTTAGCCTGTAATATCTGAAACTTGTCTATGATTGTTAAGGGTCGGTCGTTAAGGAGGTATTGTTCACCGGCTGGAGTGGGTAGGTACTTTGTTCCTCTGTGATGGGGTGGGGGGTGTGGTGATAACTGGAAGGGATCATCTCTAACTGAATTGTAAGTTTTTGGAAGCTGGAATCCGAGTCCACCACCTTCTGTTTAAAGTTGTTTTTTCTCTCTTAAAGGAATAGTACACCCAAAGAATGATTTAGTCTCTTTCTTTTTCCTCACGCCCATGCTGAAAAACACACTGAAGCACTTTTTTGATATCTCAGATGCAGCTGGAGATCTGGGAGGCTTTTTGCTGTCTGTCGACATTCAAATAATGGAGGTCCATTGCGCTCGAGCCAAAAACGTCCATAAAAAGTCCAGAAAACTTGTCAACATTCCTCCATACTGCTCGTCCAATGTATTCCAAGTGTCCTGAGTGGGTAGCGTCCATAATTTACTCGAAACGAAGTCATTTAGAATGTTTTTAGAGCATAAACAATAGTGTATAGGATTTCCTGAAAGCGCGCGCCTGCGAGTTCACGACACTACGGAAACCGCGGCAGACCAAACCAGATGAAAGTGCGCATTCAGCTCGGCAAAGAACTCATGCTCTTCCTCAACACTGAAGTCCTCAGACATTTTTCTTTCGTTGTTTCTTTCTTTGCACAGGTAAACAGCACATTTCTTCTTCTACGCTTGCGTTATCGGCAGAGCAGACGCTGAATGCGCACTTTCATCTGGTTTGGTCTGCCGGCTTCCGTAGCGTCGTGAACGCGCTTTCAGGAAATCCTATACACTACTGTTTATGCTCTAAAAACATTCTAAATTACTTTGTTTCGAGTAAATTCTGGATGCTACCCACTCAGGACACTTGGAATACATTGGACGAGCAGTATGGAGGAATATTGACACGTTTTTTGTGGACCTTTATGGACCTTTCTGTCTCGGGCACCATAGACCTCCATTATTTGAATGTCAGCAGACAGCAAGAAGCCTCCCAGATCTCCAGATGCATTTGAGATATCAAAAAAGTACTCCAGAGTGTTGTTCAGCATGGGGGTGAGTAGAAAATGAAGGCTAATCATGTTTTGGGTGTACTATTCCTTTAACATAGATGGCTTCCTTCACGCCCCCTCTCAAACCAGCTATGCCCTTTACTAACGAAATCACCAATTGGCCAAAATTTCCCCTGGAAACTTGACTCAGATATTAACAATTTTACAAGCAGCAAATGCTGGAGTTGGAAAAATTAAATTTTTGTTGCTTGATGAACATCAACCAATCAGAGAAGCTGATCTAGAAGCAGGCAGGGAGACAGATACAGCACTGCTTATGCAGCACGCAATGATCACTCCACTGAAACTTAAAATGTGAAAAAACTTGCCGGCAAAATATGTTTGCTTTTATTACTCTAACACCTACAGTTTGAGCCACGTACACTAAAATGCTAACATCTACTTCCAGCCCCCAACAGTAGGGGAAAACCCCCAAGAGGCGACCGGGCTTGAGGCAGCTGCTGCTGGATTCCCAGTGACAGAACGGCTCTGGTATGTGGAGATCTGCGTTACCGTGGCAGTAGCCAGATTCGGATTGCATAGAACTGAGTTGAGCTCTACTTTATCAGTCTGGGTTGGTCCCGCCCCAAAAAACACTGCTGTCATGTAACTGGAACGACCCGCTGGTGGTTACGAGATGGACGTATTAGCAGGAGTCTTTCAATATGGATTTGTTGTGAGACTGAGAACTCAAAGTCAGGTCTGCGTGCCTCCCACAGTGAAATAATATTTTAAGGCGGAATCGTAAACTTGACGAATAGACTGCACAGAAGATGTTTTAAGGTGGAATCTTTCACATGAAAATATATTAAAACTACTTTTAACTAGTGTTCCGCCAATGACATTTTTTGGCACCGATACCGATACCCGATACCTGGCTGCGCAGTATCGGCTGATCCAGATACCATACCGATACCATCTGTTTGAAACTGATGTGTGTGTATATATGAAGAACTGCATACTATTGGATGTAAAATAATCGCCATCATGGCTTTGTCAAGCTGCTGCCTACCTTTGTGAAGCAGGAGAAAAAAGACTAATACAAAGTGAATCCAGCAGAACTTTTTATTACCTACCTGAATGGGGTGACAATAGTTGATTAAACTTTTTGCTCTCAAAATGGTATCAGTGCTGATACCACAATTTTAGGGCAGTATCAAGGCCCTGCCTGATACTGGCATCAGTATCGGTGCAACACTACTTTTTACCCACTTATCACAGCAATATAGCCAAGCAGCTCTCTGCCATTGAACACAGGAGCAGCAGAAGACGCATCTGGACGGACTTTACTGAACACTTCAGGAGCATCAAAGATGCTCTTGAGATGCATTTGACCTTAATGTGGGCAATCATAAAAAATTAGGCAGCAGGCGTCTGTTTTATGCTCAAAATGCGTGCAGTGTGAATGTGGCATTACATTTTCTCATTGTTTGAATAAACTATGAAACCTAATATTGTAACTAAAAATTATCTCATGTCTTCCTTATGGAGATTCTAAAGAGACTTACTTTCTATAATCAGGACAGGAGTAGTGTTGTAACAAAACAAAAAGTTAGCTGCATTCCACCTCAAAATAAAGGAAATAGCGTTTCACAGAGTCTAAATTTCCCCAACTCAGCGCAAAGCCTAAAGCTGTTACACCAAAGTGTACACCCCAGGAAATATTCTTAGCTAAAAGCCTGGCTTAGATTGATTAACAATGAATTCATTTTCTTTTTGTTTTCACTTATCCCGGTTGACCGCTTTATTAGCGTAATACATTTTACAGCGTCCATAGGGGCCACCTCATCCACCAACACGGCTGATTCAGAATGCTAGAATAGTTCCACAACATGTCAGCTAGTTTTGCAAGGGCTTGCTAATGAATCATGTTTTTGTTCTAGGGGTGTTGAATGAAGATAGAAATCAAAACATGTAGGAAAGCAAACCGCTGAGAACTGATTTTCAACACATGTAAAAAGTGACACACTGCACAAAGAAAGTGCAAGCTAAACCACACATGACTAAGATTAAATAATTTGGATCTGTACCAACATTTTTATCTTCTTTCCTCCAAATAAGGGAGGTGCATATACTTGAGAACATAAACCGTTTTTTCGCCCCTTGTGCTACAATTCAAAAGCATTCCAAAAAGAAAGAAGAACTGGGATTAGTAGAGAACTTTGGAATTACAATAATAAGGTGTAAAAAGTGCAAAAAAAACAACAACAAAAAACATGTGGCACAGGGCTTTGAATCTCTACCCATTTTTACCCATTTCATTTACTTTCTATGCACTAGACGGAACAGCTGTTGATTTTTACTAATATATGCAAGAGAAGTGATGCCACGGAGCGCAGGAAGCTAAAGCAGAACCTCCGTTTGTGTGTCAAGTTTTTGCGAGGACAGAACTGCTGGTAAAGCATTTAAAAAAATGTAATTAGTAGGGATGGAACGGTTTATGAAAACCATCCAAACCGTTCGGTTCATGCGCTGCTCCATTTTCTCATAGGCGAAGCGTTTGACAGGGGCAGTTGTGGGTGAGCGGTTAGGGTGTCAGACTTGGATCCCAAAGGTTACCGGTTCGACTCCCGACCCGCCAGGTTGGTGGGGGGAGTAATTAACCAGCGCTCTCCCCCATCCTCCTCCATGACCGAGGTACCCTGAGCATGGTACCGTCCCGCCGCACTGCTCCCTTGGGGCGCCATTGAGGGCTGCCCCCTTGCACGGGTGAGGCACAAATGCAATTTCATGGTGTGCAGTGTTCACTTGTGTGTGCTGTGTCACAATGACAATGGGAGTTGGAGGAGTTTCCCAAAGGGCTTTTCACTTTTCACTTTCACTTACACTCCAGAGCAGAAGGTGGCGGTACTGCGACCAAAGCCAACCACCAGTAGTAAACAAGAAGAAGCGAAGCAGCGTAGCCGGGTGTAGCAGAAAAAAAATCAGTTGTTGTGGAGAATTGTGTGGGTATGGCGAGTTGGAACGACGAGCCAGCAGCACTTTATAGGTCTGCTGTATGGGACCACTTTGCATTTAGAGTGACCTACGATGACGGCGGAAAGAAAGTTGTGGATAAAAGTGCAACAGTGTGCAAGCATTGTGCAACACGTTTTGTACTTTATAAAACATAATAGATTTTCCTAACAATCAACATATACCGAACCAAACCGAAAACCCTGACCATGAAACCGTGAACCGAACTGATCCGTGGATTATGTGAACCGTTCCACCCCTAGTAATTAGCAAACAGAACAGTAGCAACAAGGTCGGCACCCATTCTTTGCCTGTTTTGTGTGCTTGGCGACAGAGCATACGCTGAGTCAGGGGTGATGGAGGGCAGAGAAGGCTGGACCTGTTTGAATCTCAAGCTCTTCCGGGTTCCTTGTTTTCACGGACTTCAAACTACCCAGTCCAGGTACACTGGGTCGCTGAAGTCAGGGGCGGATTTACCATTAGAACTAGGCAATTTTCTAGGGCCTCAAGACTAATTTTACATGTATGGCTAATACAGCTTTTACGTATTTGTCCTTTCCACCACCCAGTCTCCCACTACATTGGAACAGTCCATTTGCTCCTTATGTGCAGAAATGTCCTAATAGACAGCGCAAAAAAACATATCAAAACAAATGTAGCACTTTTGTTGCTATATATGGCAACTTTTCAGACCCTTCTAGTACTTTTATTTCAAAAAAGCACCTAGTGCCAAATCTAGCAACTTTTTTCTTCTACTGGACACTTTGGGGACCACATATAAAAGCAGCGAACTCTGCTCTCCAGAGCGAGTAGGTTGTTAACCCCGCCTCCTGCTCTCCTCTATCTTGTCTGCTGTCATGATTCATGCAGCTATTATTTCATCCAAATGAAAAATGGAGAACAGATAAGCAGATCATGGCTTGTCTACAGTGAAAAGAAGGACTGGGTTATTTACTTTTACCGTCGCATTTTTGGAAACACAGGAAGGAGCAATCAGCTAAGTGAGCTTAGTGCTTGGAAGAAATCTTTCATTCCTTTAGAGACAGCATGAAAAGTCAGCTGAGTACAAAATATAGAGAGGGAAACAACAAGAAAAGGGTCAAGAAAAGAGGAACAAAACCTAGAACAAATAATGTATGTCTATTCTATTAAAGATTCTGTATCTGTAAAATGGGTCTGTTTTATGTGTTGTCTTCTCAATTCAGAGAGTCCCCTGCCTGTCTTTGCCTAGGGCCCAAAATTTCCTAAATCCGCCCCTGCTTGCAGGATGCAGCCACTGAAATCAAACACAACCGGTGTGTTCAGATCCATCGGCTGCGTCCTCCGAGGTCCAGATTCGTCTGCCGATTATGTCATAGCGCGGCACTGAGGCGTGTTTTGAAGGACAGGTCCGGTGTATCCAAAGTAGCATTGGGTATTCGGTGATTCATTGCAAGTCAGAGTAAGATGCTTGCTCTGAATCTGAGAGGGGAAAAAGGGAAATCACGCTTAACAGTGGTGAATATTTTAAGTGCAGTTTAATATAATACAAATCTATGAATAATTCCGTCTGCAATTAATGAAAATGGTTATTTTAAATTGTTATTGAGTCAGATATGTGGCGGTTAATATTTTGTTTATTGAAAGGTTTTAGGTACAGATTCCAATATCTCTTCAGTGTGGGGACCATAAATATGATATTCGTGCTGCGCTGAAGCTCCTTGACAATTTAAGTAGCACACAGAACAATAACGAGAAGTTTGGGCATCCATTCTTTGCATGCTTTGTGTGTCAACTGTCATGGTTGCTAGGCGACAGAGCATATTCTGAGTGAAGGGCGGTGGAGATCAGAGATTGGACCTGTTTGAATCCATAGCCACACTCTTCCGGCCTCCTTATTTTCACAGACCACAGAAAAGAACACACCCATAATTTGATGCACAGTCCAGTCCAGGTTATTTACACTGTTTAATCAAGGTTGCTGAATTTACTTTATGTGGTTTTGTTGGTAAATATAAACAAACACTAAACTTCTTAAGTTATCACCTAAATAGGCAGGTTTAGCTGCAATGAGACGCAGCGTAACTTTCCTGCTCTGTTTGAAAAGTGATGGTGTGCTGAAAGAAAAATGGGCATTACACAAAATATTTCTAACATGGTAAAAAAAAGACCTTCTGGCAATAAGCGCTTTAGATAGTAAAGGCTTTTGAGGCAATGCACTTCATGTAGCCAAGTTTTAACATTCCTCTGAGAGAAACCAAACCCCCTGTTTAAAAGCACTGCTTAAAGTACTAAGGCTCTCCCAGCACTTAATGCACGATTACACTATAAACAGTGAGCGATAATACAGTTGGCGTCTGCTTTATTAATATGAAGTAGCTAATAGTCTGACAGCATGCTGGAGTGACACTCTGTCTTTTAACGATTGCTTTGAATCTTTGTAATTTGGAGATTGTAAGTGTTTTTATATTCTGTATATTATTATATTCATACCTAGTCACTATTTTTTTCAGTGACAAAAACGTCCCTCTTTTGTTGTGTCTTATAAATAAGTCTAGTTTAAGTAAGTGTAGAAAATGTTTGTTTGTTTTTTTTGCTTATGCAGTCGGTATTTAATACACATGGGGGAATAAATTGTTAAAACCGTGGTTTTCCCACTGCCCTGCATGTTTTAGATTTCTCCTGGTTACAACACACCTGGCTTCTAAAGCACTATTAGATGGCTGCTGATGAGGTCATCCAGTAAATTCAATCAGGTCGGATTCAACAGCGATGCATCTAAAACATCCAGGGCAGTGGTACTTGATGTGCAGGTTTGAGACATGATGAGGCAGAACATAATGATGTCCTATTTTTTATCAGTATATTGTAAAAAAAAAAATGTTTAGCCCATCAAGTTATTGAAATAAGACAAATGTTAGGTTTTTAAGAAAAAAGGCCGTTTATAAATTAGTTTTCAGTATATCCATCCATCCATTTATTTTCTGTCACGCTTATCCCTGTTGGGGTCGCGAGGGGTACTGGTGCCTATCTCCAGAGGTCAATGGGCGAGAGGCGGGGTCTACCCTGGACAGGTCGCCAGTCAATCACAGGGCAACACAGAGACAAACAGGACTAGCAACCCTTTACACACACACACATACGTAAGGAGAATTTTAGATTAACCTAAATTAACCTAACAATCATGTTTTTGTGACTTGTGTTGGCGCTATTTTAATAAACTGAATTGAGTTGAACTGATATTCATCCATTTGGTTTTATCCAAAGCGACTTAAAAGGAGTTTAATACGTTTACAGTGGCGGTTCTAGACCAAATGTACCAGGGGGCCAGGAGGGGGCCAGGGTGTTTTCATGGGGGCAAAGAAAAGCATGAAATAAAAATCAGGGCAAGGGATTCAAATATATTAAGATAGTCGCATGAAGTGAAATTTCTATTCAATTAGGTTTAATAAAAATTCTATTTCTTATTATGTCTATATACATTCGTGTTTTTGGACTGTGTGAGGAAGCTGGAGTACCCAGAGAGAACCCACACATGCACAGGGAGAACATGCAAACTCCGTGCAGAAAGACCCCGGGTGGGGAATTAAACCCAGAACCTTCAGTGCCTATCAGTTTGTCATTAATTAATTAATTAATTAATCAAAACATTGCTTACTTAAGGCGTAACTTTTCATATTGTAGTTTCATTAACAGGCAGGGAGATTAATATTCATTGAGGGAGCCAAGAGGCCAGTGGCTTATTTAAACTGGCTATAAACCAACACCCCACTGGAACATAATAGTAGCAGCAGCATGCTCTAGGGAAGCTGCTTGTCAGATTTGATCATTAAAACTAAAAACTAAAATGCAAAACATTTGATGAAAATGTAGAAACCTGCGGACTGCACAGAAACTTTCTAGGAATGATGTACACTCTTAGCAATTAAGCTATGCATAATGCTGCCAAGTAAACTCCTTGTACAAACAAAGTATTTCTTGGCTTACCTTTTCTGTATTCCTCATCATTATCAAGGCTGTCTTCTCCAACAATATGCTGGGGTTTGATTTGCTCTGTGAGACACACAAAAGAAACATTCAGTCTAAATGTATTAAAATAAGTTTATTTAATTCATATTACACATCAAAACTGTGCATTATAAGCTCTTGTTGTGGGTTTGTTGGACATTATCATATTACCACTAATGGTAATCTCTGTGAGAACACCGAAACTGGGCGGAGACATTGTCACATAGTTGTGTAGCATGTTGTCAGAGACTGAATAACGTAAAGGTCACAGCATACAAAGAATTCAACCAAACAAAGAGGCAGAGAGCTGTGAGGAAGTGAATACCTCCCCTTAGTTTCCATATATGCTTACAAAAATTTGCACTTGCATATTTTAAAGAGTTTTTTAAAGGTGTGAGATGATGTACCAGAGTTAAAACAAAACAATTGAAGGTGACAAATGACAAAAGGACTTTAGGCATGTTTTGATTTCCATTTCAGTAGAAGGAAGTTCCATGGAAGCTGTTTTGAGTTTGTCATCTAGAAATCTATCATCCAACACTGAATTCCAAAACTCTCGTTCACCTGCTTTTACTGTATTATCAGTTGAGGAACAATTTACTGGACAGTATTCACCTTTCAAAGGTTTGGGGTAATTATTCTAGTTTTTTTATTTGGGAAGGAAGAGGTAGTGAGATATCTTCTGTTTCTGTAGAAAGAGAATGCAAAATAAAACTCTTTAAAGATCTCTAAATCTACTTGTTGATTCAGTATTCCTCTAACCTGACTCCGCCAGATGGATTTGCTCCCATCTGGAAACCTTCCGTTGAAGTAATTTTGGGAAGGGGTGAAAATACTGGTTAGCTGATTGACCTATGTTGGTGATAGACGGGCCAAATAAACCAATCCAATCCACGAAGCATATGACGTACTAACAGAGCGATGACGAAGAGGAGCCAATTGATAGATCAAACTCTTGCCGAAACCAGTCGGGAGAAGAGCAAAAACATCTTTTTATCTGAGAAAAGCCTCCAGAGCAGTGTTTTGCTCTTCTTTCAGTGAAGAAATACTCTGTAATTCCGATAAAACTTGCTCGATAGCCACGCTAACGCTAGTTTCATCGTCTGAAGCCGCCATGTTCTTTAGACTGAACTGTCGCGCTTCTCGTTGCGTCACACCTCAACCCGCCTCAAAGCCAACGCTGATTGGACGTTTGTTTGGTGAACGGCTCCAAATTTTCTTCAACGGAGAGTCTCCAGACTGATCTGCGAGTGAAACCTTGAAAGCTCGCGAGATCAGGATGGTCTCACGAGGCTAGGATTCCTCCTCATCTAGCTTAGTCCATTTAGTCTGTTTTATTATAAACACAATTGGTTACAATGGATTAAGTCAAAGCACAAGGGAGAAAATGGAGTAATAGATTACCCAGCTCCTCCTCCATGGTGCTGCCGCCAAATGTGTCTTTGACTCCCAGCACCCGGTTGAACAAAATAGAGAAGGCACTTCCCCACACACCTGCCACATAAAAAACATGTCCTGTTAGTATTAGAAATCGAAGATGTCCCATACTCTGTGCTCTAAGCACTGAAATATACATTCCTTTTTTTTTTTTTTACTTTTTTTTAATAGATTTTTTACAGGTAAACAACAAAAACATGACAATGATTAAAGGAATAGTACACCCAAAACATGATTAGCCTTCATTTTCTACTCACCCCCATGCTGAACAACACTCTGGAGTACTTTTTTGATATCTCAAATGCATCTGGAGATCTGGGAGGCTTCTTGCTGTCTGCTGACATTCAAATAATGGAGGTCTATGGCGCCCGAGGCAGAAAGGTCCATAAAAGTCCACAAAAAACGTGTCAATATTCCTCCATACTGCTCGTCCAATGTATTCCAAGTGTCCTGAGTGGGTAGCGTCCAGAATTTACTCGAAACGAAGTCATTTAGAATGTTTTTAGAGCATAAACAGTAGTGTATAGGATTTCCTAAAAGCGTGTTCACGAGTCTACGGAAACCGGCAGACCAAACCAGACGAAAGTGCGCATTCAGCTCGGCAAAGAACTCATGCTCTTCCTCAACACTGAAGTCCTCAGACATTTTTCTTTCGTTGTTTCTTTCTTTGCACAGGTAAACAGCACATTTCTTCTTCTACGCTTGCATTATCGGCAGAGCAGACACTGAATGTGCACTTTCATCTGGTTTGGTCTGCCGGCTTCCGTAGCGTCGTGATCGCGCATGTGCGCGCTTTCAGGAAATCCTATACACTACTGTTTATGCTCTAAAAACATTCTAAATGACTTTGTTTCGAGTAAATTATGGACGCTACCCACTCAGGACACTTGGAATACATTGGACGAGCAGTATGGAGGAATATTGACACGTTTTTTGTGGACTTTTATGGACCTTTCTGCCTCGGGCGCCATAGACCTCCATTATTTGAATGTCAGCAGACAGCAAGAAGCCTCCCAGATCTCCAGATGCATTTGAGATATCAAAAAAGTACTCCAGAGTGTTGTTCAGCATGGGGGTGAGTAGAAAATGAAGGCTAATCATGTTTTGGGTGTACTATTCCTTTAATGTCCTTTAATAGTGAGTCCTTTAGCATTTGTCACAAAAAACAAAACAAACAAACAAAAAAAAGCATTAGACAAACAATAAATAATATTATATAAAAATAATTTGTTCATTTATACTTTGGACATACTGAAAGTAAAAAAAAAAAAACAACACACTTTATGGAGTTTCAACCAGTCAATTAGAAGTGTCCACATCTTTATTCATAACAAATGGGGTAAAGAAGAACAAAAAAAAAGAGGGGGAGATAAGGGTTCTTTATGGCTTTAGTTGTTCTAAAATGGGTTTCCAAATTTTGTAATATTTTTGAGGACAGTTTATTAAATCAAATCTAATTTTTTCTATGTGCAATATTCCTGTAAATTTCTTGATCCAAGATTCAAAATTAGGTGGTCTGTCAGTCTTTTGGTAATCATCATGCCATAAGAGACCACTGTTGTTACATCACGACCCAATTTTGAAATAACCTACCCATCAGAAAATGAAGAGGGTTCTCTTCATACTTCCTTACGACCGATCCCATGAAGAACTTGCTTCCGAACAGATCGGGTGTCATGAAGGTACCGTACTTTGCCATTCCGATTTCATATGGGCTGAACTCCACCCAATCTGCAACATGGATTCAAGTGTCAGAAATAAGACATAATAGTGACTAAGTAATCATTTCAATATTATACTAAAAAATATAAGACAACAAGGTATCCAGATTAGACATAATGAATACATTTTACCCTGCTGATAAACCTAGAAGGGAAATAAATCAGATAACCAGGGAATGCATCGTTAAGACAATTTGGATTGTCTTTTATGAAACTGCATGCTAACATGCAGGTCAAAGATATGGTAAAAGATAAAGGGAACAAAATGAGATCAAAATTAATATGTCATAAACTAAATTATCCATGCATCCATCCATCCATCCATCCATCTTCCTCCGCTTATCCGGGGTCCGGTCGTGGGGGCAGCAGCTTAAGAAGGGAGGCCCAGACTTCCCTCTCCTCAGCCACCTCTTCTAGCCCCTCAGGAGGAACCCCAAGGCGTTCCGAGGCCAGCCGAGAAACATAGTCTCTCCAGCGTGTCCTGGGTCTTCCCCGGGGCCTCCCCCCGGTGGGACGTGCCCGGAACACCTCACCAGGGAGGCGTCCAGGAGGCATCTTAACCAGATGTCCGAGCCACCTCAACTGGCTCCTCTCGACGTGGAGGAGCAGCGGCTCTACTCCGAGTCCCTCCCGGATGACCGAGCTTCTCACCCTATCTCTAAGGGAGAGCCCAGCCACCCTACGGAGGAAACCCATTTCGACCGACGATCTCGTTCTTTCGGTCATGACCCAGAGTTCATGGCCATAGATGAGGGTAGGAACGTAGATCGACCGCTAAATCGAGAGCTTCGCTTTTTGACTAAAGTAACGTAAATGAATAAACGTACCCTTAGATTATAAATTGTACCATTTATTAATTAAAATCTGCGACCGCTCAAAACCTACTACACCCCAGCAAGCTCTTTTATAAGCTTATTAGATATAGGTTTCAATAAGGCTCAATTGCACTGAAACAATCACCTTATTGTTTTTAAATAAATAGTAAAACAGAATTTGTAAAGAAAAAAAAAAATCAATAATCATGTCTGTTTTAGCGCATATCATCATTAGAATTACTTTGAGTATTATGTTTTCAGTACGGGGGCCATAACAGCCCCTGTCTAGAACCGGCCATGTACGTTTGGGTACCCTTTTCTGGGCGTGAGAAAAGATAACGTGTAATTTTAGACTGGTTGCGCATTTTGCGTCATCATTCTCAATACATGCCAATGAACAATAGTATCTTTTCATCAACTGAAAGAGGTAATAGCTTACTAGGAGTCAGTTTTCTCCCATAACCTATTTTGAGAGCAGAGCTTTGCTCACATTTGTGATAAACAGACTTGGAATAAAAAGTTCAAAGTGGAAAGTTCTCGATAAGTCAAGCTACAACTGATACTAGTAGTTAAATGTTTCTGCATGTTGTTCTAGGTGGACGCTTCTCAGGTTATTCCAGTAACATAATGTGCAAATTAATACCAGCGGCAGCAGTAGGAGTAAATCTAGAAAGGGTGATTCATCTGTGTACCACAGCAAACCATCAATTAGTTGTCTTCTATGAATATTAAAACGCAACAAATTAACCATTGATCTAAGTCACATTTGCTGTGAAAACATTTGCTAATAGTTCAATAAGCGGTGGCATGAAGGAACAGAAAAAGTTATTTTCACAGAGTTCTGGTTTATTTCAGGCCTGCTGATAACAGCACACAGGAAAAAAGACTTCTTTGATGTTATTGACAGCTGCTAACAATATCTCGACCACAAAGCGGAAATAATGTCGACATTTTCCTGATACAATCAGTTCAGTTTTTTCTGTTTTTCTTTTTTTTTTACTTTTTTGCATGGTTTCATTTTTTTGTATTAACCCTTTACTGTGTCTTGATCTTTTAATAGAATTCTCTAAGCTCCATTTGTAAGTCCTTCTTTAATTTGACTCTTTCTGTTCCTGCATGTTGCCCCCAGCTTTACCTCCCCTGGTCTGCTCTACTTATTGCGTTGGCTGTAAAACTGAGTCGATGCAGCAGGAGTTTATTCATCGTGCACGTCAGCCCATCGCTCTTAGTTAACCTGTTCACACATCCAGTTTGGTTTCACAGTAATGCCCCGGACGTCTATATTTAGCTGTGTATGCAGTTATTATTTTATACCCTCCAGCTTGTAGTTTGAATCGATCAGGCCCACCGGTGCTTTCCTTTATAGTGGGCAAATGTAAATGCATTTTTAAAAGTGGTTTGCATTTGGCTTTTTCCTCGCATAACAGTAATTTGGGGACACCAAGGACAGGTCGCCAGTGCAACGCAGGGAAACACAGGATAAACAACTACACACGTACACCTAAGGAGAATTTAGAGAAGCCAATCAACCTAACAGTCATGTTTTTGGACTGTGGAAGGAAGCCAGAGTACCCAGAGAGAACCCACGCATGCACAGGGAGAACATGGAAACTCCACGCAGAAAGGGTTAGGGTATCAAACCCAGAACCTCATTGCTGAGCAGCCAATAATATAAACCATACCAGTCAAAAGTCCAGATAAAACCTTGCAAAACAAGGACTAAAAAATTTTATTGGAAAGGAAAACATTTATTTGAAAAGGATAAATAGAAAAATGTACAGATTCAGCTGTAATATTGCCTACAAGCATCTAGCAAAGTTTATCAGTAAAAATGTTCCTCAGCTGTGTGAAGACTTCAACATATCTCTATCTGAGCCATTGTATGCCAAAACAAACATTATTAGATTGTGGCTTAGATTAGATTGTGGTTTATGATATTTTTGGGGTTCTAGGAGCGACATCAGGATACAACATAACCAAGAAGTAAATATTTCAAATATTTATTCAATTTATACACAGTTAAAGAGGCAATACCCTTAGCTGAGTTGATGCCCCTACTTCCTGCTGATATTGAAATGTAAGCTATGTTTACATGTTGAAAACTTTATTATCAGATTGAAAAAGACTTGTCTAAATACGTTTATACAGGTGCTAGGTCAAATAACCTGACGGGTGTTTTAATGCACCTGGTTTTATTTGGAAAAGACACACCTCGACATACTCAGACTTGTCATATTTTCTCTAAACCATTCGCAGATGTTGAATTTCTGCCTCTGCAGTAATAAAAAGTAAACAAAAAAATAAAGAAAAAGGTTTTTCCAGGTGTGCGAGGACCCAGAATCAACCCATGGAAATGTCTGAGAAAAACTTAGATGATATGGCTTTACTTAATTATGACAGGCTTAGGGTTGCAATAATTCAGTGGTTTCTGCACGATTATTCCTCTTGCTTACTTTGCAATGCATGTTAAAGGAATAGTACACCCAAAACATGATTAGCCTTCATTTTCTACTCACCCCCATGCTGAACAACACTCTGGAGTACTTTTTTGATATCTCAAATGCATCTGGAGATCTGGGAGGCTTCTTGCTGTCTGCTGACATTCAAATAATGGAGGTCTATGGTGACCGAGACAGAAAGGTCCATAAAAGTCCACAAAAAACGTGTCAATATTCCTCCATACTGCTCGTCCAATGTATTCCAAGTTTTCTGAGTGGGTAGCATCCAGAATTTACTCGAAACTAAGTCATTTAGAATGTTTTTAGAGCATAAACAGTAGTGTATAGGATTTCCTGAAAGCGCGTTCACGACGCTACGGAAGCCGGCAGACCAAACCAGATGAAAGTGCGCATTCAGCGTCTGCTCTGCCGATAATGCAAGCGTAGAAGAAGAAATGTGCTGTTTACCTGTGCAAAGAAAGAAACAACGAAAGAAAAATGTCTGAGGACTTCAGTGTTGAGGAAGAGCATGAGTTCTTTGCCGAGCTGAATGTGCACTTTCATCTGGTTTGGTCTGCCGGCTTCCGTAGCGTCGTGAACTCGCAGGTGCGCGCTTTCAGGAAATCCTATTCACTACTGTTTATGCTCTAAAAACATTCTAAATGACTTCGTTTTGAGTAAATTCTGGATGCTACCCACTCAGGACACTTGGAATACATTGGACGAGCAGTATGGAGGAATATTGAAACGTTTTTTTTGGACTTTTATGGACCTTTCTGTCTCGGGCGCCATAGACCTCCATTATTTGAATGTCAGCAGACAGCAAGAAGCCTCCCAGATCTCCAGATGCATTTGAGATATCAAAAAAGTACTCCAGAGTGTTGTTCAGCATGGGGGTGAGTAGAAAATGAAGGCTAATCATGTTTTGGGTGTACTATTCCTTTAATAATGTGCTTGCTTACTTACAGAAGTTAGGTTTTGGTTGTGTTCACAAATGAATACCATTTGAATTTCATTTATTTTTAGCCAGTTTAATGATCAAGAGTTAGATATAATTTTAAATTTGGAAAGTATTGGGCCAAATTTAGAGTTGAGGTTAAAGCAACACTGTGTAACTTTTAGACACTAGGGGCGCTAGACCTGTAGCTTCTAAGATACTAAGCAACTATTCACACAGCCCTATCAAAAGTAAAGCAGCCTGATGATAGGAGACCGCTTTAGATGAAACCTGGCGAGCCAGACTGATGATGTATAGCACGCAGGTTTTCCCTCTACACATTATTATTATAATGGGACTTTTTAAATTATATGTTCCGCGGAAGCAGGGTCATTCAATAGGTAGTCTCATGCATCACCAGGTGCCCACCTACCATAGCTTGATTTTAGCCATTAATGGAACTAATCGAATATCAGCAGACATGAGAAACCACAAAAACCTACGCTTGCTACTTTCTTTCTGTTCGTCTTTCAAAGATGATATCATGGGTTCTGACAAAACCGAGGTGATAGCAGCAGCTGCATGTGCATCCGCCAGCCCTACCATGTTTATTCTGGTTTGACTGTGGGCTCAGCAGCACTTTTTTTCCATCATGGCTATATGTCCCACCTTAAATCATTATAATGAATGTCCATTAAAGGTTGAATTGGTTTAAGATGTATTCTGATGCAGTGGTGGGAAGTAAAGTACATTTTTGAGTATCTTTATTTTACTTGATTCATATTTTGCGAAGGGGAACTTTCACTCTACTACATTTTAAAGTCAAATATTGTACTTTCTACTGGCTGCTGGTTACTTGTTCCTTTCTGCTCAGCTGAGCTTTGAAATCCGCTGTTGCTGTTTTTTCTTTATTGAAATGCAATTTCAACATGCAAATTAGCAGCCCTTAGGACTGAATTTGGACAGATTTGCATGACGTTCTACAAATGTGAGAAACTTACATTGTAGTTTAATTTTATTAAGCCGTTAGTTGGTGCCATCTGTTCAATAGGATGAGTTCTCAAATCAGAATTGCAGTTTCTTTGTGGTAATAGATTCCACCTTAAACCTCTACTTTGTAGTTAAAATGTGAGGAGAATCAAGACTCTCCTGTTTTCTTGATGCTGTTTTTAAATACGAAATAATGATCAAAATAGCTGTCCTTGTTTTTTGTGGCATTTTTATCCTGAAGTTCTTTACAGGTGGTGTAGAATCTGTAACAGAGTGGTTCTATGTGTCAGTAGAACGGGTGGTTTGTAAAGGTTCAAAGTTCTTTAAAATTACTCTGAAAATTAGACAGAAATGTACTGATATTAGAAAATTTTATCTGTATTTTTGAATATTTAAGTACTTTTAAATTAATTTACTTTTGAACACTTAAGTATTTTTCAAAAGTGAGTACTTCAATACTTCAACTTGAGTAGATTATTGACATAGTAACCTTTACTTGTGGTTGTCACTGTCTTGGTTCTGTTAAGTCTTCTTTGAGTTTCATGTTGATTCATGTTTTTCTTTGTTTTCTACTTTTATTGATTTAATTCCTATTTTGTTGTGTTTTTCTGGATGTATTTGAGTTCTTCAGTTTTTCTTTGTTGCCCTCTTGTGTTCCCCTTTTCCCTGGCTCCTTTCTAGAAGCCCCTGTTCACACCTGCTCCCAATCAGCTCCTTAGTCCTGTCTCTGTTCAGTCAGTCATAAATATTCTCCATGTGCAGTTCCTCAGTGCTGGTTCCCGATCTTTCCCCTGCTCCTTGTCCTTGTTTTCCCTGATATCTCCATGGTTCTGGTTTGTTTTACATTTTCATGTTGGATTTTTGGATTCCTGCCTCAGTTGCTTGTGAACACTCCATTAAGACTACAAGAACTCACCTCTGCCTCCCTGTCTCTGCATTTGGGTCCTCAAAACCTCAACCAAACCTTGACAGTGGTTGAGTAAGTTTTAACTATGAGGATCGATACTTTCAGTCAAGTACTACTGTTGAGTACTTCGTCCAACACTGGTCTGATGAGTTTACCAATTCATGAATTGTCAGGATTCCTGTCTGTGTATGTGTTTTTTCTGTATTTTGTCTTCCTCCACCAGGAGGCGCCTGGTTCTGGTCCACCTCCTTATTCACCTGCTGTGAATTACCTCGTTAAGAGTGTTCTTAATCTGCTGACTGCCCCTACCTCGACGCCAGAGTGTTTTCCAGTTTTGGGTACTCTAGCCAAGCTGAGTTTTGCTGAGTCAAACTGAGTTCTTGTCAACCTGAGTTTTAATCTTGTTTTTTGTCTTTACCTCTGGGCAGAAAGTCATCCTGCAAACTGGATTTTTTTTTCAGACCTTCTCTCCCTGGAAGGATCATCTGAGTTTTAAGCTGAGTTGAGGATTTAAACTGGAGGTTTGAATCAACTTTTCCTCAAGAGATTGTTTGAGCTTCACACTGAGCAAGGGATTCATCTCCACTACGACCCATTCAAGTACCGCAGGAAATCTGAGTGACAGTCAGCTTCTCCGTTCACCTACAGTAAACCCTGTCCGCCCTCCACCGAATCAGACAAACACTGGAACTACCGCACACAGACTGGAGTCAAAGAGTCAACAACTTCTCTGGAAACGTGAGTCAGCAATCTATTTCTCTTCAAGTTCAAGAATCAAATTTCCCACCGAGCCTGAACTAACCGCAGTGTCTTCCCCTCACCTTTCAGTTCCGGTTGAGCAGTGTTCAGAGCAACACTGGATTCTTCACAATCTCATAAATAAACCTGTTAAACTTTTTCCTTGGTCTCTCTGTTTGGTCTTCTGCATTTGGGTCTGATCTTTAGTTAATTCATGACATAAATACTGCAAGGATTTAGCCTGCAGAGAGCATTAGCATCTTGCTACTAAAGGCAAATATGCAGCACTTTAACATTGGCCAGAGAGTCAGGTTTGCCGTAAACAGAATGACAAGAACAAGTGTTTAGCTGCAAGCTGTTTAGATTTAGAACGGCAAAAACTATCTTCTCATCCAGAATACAACTTCATTCCAACAGAACCAAATCAGAATATTACATTTTTTTTCTCCATTCAGCCCTTCAATCTGACACCTGTGTCCATTTAAACATTCCTATTGGATATTTATTTTGTTCAGCACTTTCTCCTTAAAACGTCTGTTTAAAAATAAAACAAAAGTGCGACTTTTAAACGTAAAATGAATACATTTTATCTCATCTTATTTTCTTTTAGTTAATTTCTCACAACCAGCCTTCTTCCAACTCCTGATGAAATAGGTTTATTCTTCCACACGTAGAATTATTTTATGTGTATGTGGAATATGAGTCTGTTAAAATCAATCACCTGGTGCTAATTACTTAATTAGCACCAGGTGAGCAGTTGACCTTACTTTGGAGAAAAAAAGGTTTTCCTTTAAAGTTCAACACAGTTGTTTTCTTCTTTATTCATTTCTTAAACTTCTTTCCCTGCCTTGCTGAAGCAGTTACTGTAGAGGGCACTTAAACAAAGAGGAAGTTTTGTGTTACAGCATATGGGATCAACTCGCAACAACCCCTAACTAGTTCTCAGTATTCGGTTCCTTGATTTAGCTCAGCGGTGGAACCACCCTCATTCACACCTCATTTCTCATTCTCTCTTTGACGCCAGCGCAGCATTACAAGGAAAATGTGTTGGCTGCTTATTTTGCATGTGGGCTAGCTGAAAAACTATATACATTCTCTATTAGACATGCAAAATATAGATCTGTGGGAAACCTGGGTTATATGAGACGCACCTTTATTTAAAGAAAAAGAACAAAGGTTACCTGCAAACATGAGCTCGGAAACATCTGGTTTGACGTGTAAACATGTGAAGAGAGGTAGAGGGCTCTGGGCCTGGTTTATTTTCTCTTGAATTTCACTTAGCTTGATATCCATCCTCTGTTAAAAAAAAAGCATAATATCTTAATAATGATCACATCTATAACATCACATTACTGTGAAAAAATTGCACTTTTTACTACTTGAACTTTAGGGTCAGCAAACATGACCCTAAAGAAACACTTGGTGGTTCAGTTAAGCCCCATTTACACTACCCTTTTGAAACCATGCAGAGAATGGTCCGAGCACGGTAACCAAGATAACACTGGTTCTGCTGGAGGTTGCTTCCTATTAAAAGGGAGTTTTTCCTCTCCACTGTCGCTACAAGCATGTTTAGTTTGAGTGATTGCTGAAGAGTCAATGTGTCGATGCAATCAACTGGTTTTCCTTAGATAGAAAACTTTGAATCTGTTTGACTGCATCATCTGCTAAAATGTAAAGTGCCTTGAGATGACGTGTTTTGAATTAGCGCTATAAAAATAAACTGAATTGAACCGTTGAGTAGGCCTGTGCAAAAATTTGATTAAATTAATTCATTCAATTTTTTTCGCCACCATTTTTGTTTGCATAATTCCCACCTTTAGAGCTGTAGTATCATGTACCGCCAATAGGAGTGGAGGAACCATGCTAGCAGAGATGGCAAAAGTACTCACTTTCCGTACTTGAGTAAAAGTACAGATACTTGTGTTAAAAAATACTCTGGTAAAAGTGGAAGTACTGATTAAACTTCTTTACTCAAGTAAAAGTAACAAAGTACAGGCTTGTAAATTTACTTAGAGTATAAAAGTAAAAGTAGAAACCACTTTTTTCATGCCGTTGCCTACATTTTAAATGGATGTCTGCCAATAGGACTAGATCTCCGTTGTTCTCATTTTCAATCATCTCGTCGTCCATGCTACTATGCTAACGCCACCGCCACCAAGCTGCAATGATTTGCCGCCAATGAATACCGCCGAATCTGTCGATTCATCTTGTAGCGGTGCGTCAAATGCAACGTAGATTCCCATCCAATTAGACTGAATTTGGTATTGATGACGTGAAAAATAATAACGGTAACTCCATTGAAATGATTCAAAACTAAAGTAACGAGCCAATTTTCTAAAATGTAAGGAGTAGAAAGTACAGATATTTGTGTAAAAATGTAAGGAGTAGAAGTAAAAAGTCGCCATAAAAATAAGTAGTAAAGTAAAAATATCAGAAAAATCTACTTGAGTACAGTAACAAAGTATTTGTACTTCGGTACTTCCCATCTCTGCATGCTAGTGTGATGTGTAAATGGTGGTCATAAGAATCCAAGCTCGGTCCGAACTCAGCACGGATCGGTTTCAGAGGGGTGGTGTAAATAGGGCATTAGATTAAAGTATGTACTGATAGGTGCTGCTTTCTCATGAGTAAAATAAGTATTAGCTGCTTGGCAGCTCCTACCGCAGGTATAAGCGTCTCTCCTATGAGCATTCCGAAAATATCAGTAAATGTGACTGGCTGCCCCAACGCCTTTTTGGACCACAGGGCCTGGATGTAGTTGGTGATGTGTTTGGGCAGCAGCAGCCGAAGTGGGTTACTGCTGACTCTCTGCATCAGCTCATTGTTGATGTCTTTTGGACCCTTGTTTGGAAAGTCAGGGTGGGAGTAGAGTGCAGACATGTACCTAGAGAGACAAAGAGAAGGGCAGTGAGGAAGAAGTAGTTAAACCGAATAAATCTGTTTCCAACTCGCTGAAAAATATCAGAGTAAAAGGCTGAGTTTTAAGACGTTAATGCAGGATTGGCACAAACTTCAAAGTACTATATCTTACAGGAAAAGTCCGCTCATATTCGGAATTCTTCTGAAAGTACTTTAAATATAAAATTATTTCATACTTTTCAATAAATTATTCATGTTTTTAATTAAGAGTAATTTTCATATTAATGTGCTTCTGATGTGCTTGATGTTTGTCAAAGAATACTACTGCCACCTACTGGTTTGTGACGTCACGGTGCGGTATCGGCTGTTGATCAAGTCCCAATGCTCTATATAGTGTTTGTCACAATGTGCTATTATCTAAGTAATCTTGAAAACTTTCGTCTTCGAAATGTTGGCTACATATTACGTGTTTTTTCTCTGGCTAGATGTTCGTGTGCAAATCCTCCCTCTTCAAGTTTGCAATCCAATGATGAAACCGTTCTTGGAGGATCGTAAATCAGAAAGGTGAAATAACTTATTTTTACTTCACTTTTACCCGATGTATTCTAACATCCAGCTGCCATGCACGTGGGCATTGTCAGTTTCACTATAGCTCTGGTGAATTTCAATGGTGAAGTCCTCTGGAAATCTTCAATAATTGTTGTTGATTGCAGATGTGTCTAGTAGTTCCCATTGATTTTGCTTGTAAAGCGGGGAGAATGGCGCTAGGCTTACCGCACCGTGACGTCACTGCCGGAAGGTGTCAGGAATGAGGTGTTTCTATATTTTGGGGGTTAACAATAAATTCATTAAATCACCGCAAACATATTAGTTTTAGGCATAAATAATGATCCATTGATTATTCCTTGCTGACTAGACTTTACCTTTAAAGTTCAATTGTAAAAGCCTTGCAGTCCTTCATGGCCTTTGAATTGGAGATAGACTGATAACATTTATGATTTTTGTCTATATTGCCTAATAAATGCATTCGCTGGAAAATTAATTAGTGCATTGGTTTCCAAACTGGAGGTCTTATTGTACAGTAGGGGGCGCAGTAGAAATAAATTGAATAAATCGCCTGTTTAAGAGGTTTTTTTAGTTGTTTATTTATTCATAGCACAGTAGAATGAACAGCTTAACCTAAAATATATGTATTTTTAAGCTGGTAGTTTTAGCAATTTAAAATATATTGTACATTGTTTCATTGAAATGTTTAATTTTCCTGTATTGGATTTTTGTTTTTTAACTGTAAAAAAGGATGGAGCGGAGTTAGGGACTGAGAGGGCACTAAAACTTTTTGATGAATACAGGTTTTCTAATATAAATCACTCTGACTAATGTTGAAGATAACATTTTTCTTTAATTCTATGATAAAAATGATTACGAATGGTACATTCTCAATATAAACAAAAAAAAGAGACATTTTCTTAACAAAAAAAACGAAAGAACAATTTAGAATAAATGAAAGGATTAGCAATGCATGCGCTTAATGTGATCTTAAGGTTTTTAGATTATTATTTGATTAAAATGCTAATAACTACGTATCTATATCGGTCTATACCTAACTCTTGGGTTAAAAGTCTTGCTTGGGGACCCTGAGTTTCCAGGTTTCAGTCTGAATTTTGCTGAAGAAAAGCTTCATAACCTCAACTTGGTCCAAACATAACCATGACCCATCTTCTGTGATCTTTTTGGGCTTCATAAAGCTGTTCATCTATTTTGTGCTGTGCATTTATTTTGCACTAAGACTGTTTACTGATTAGGTGACTTCTTCATGGCTTCGTTTGCAAAGCATTCTATCTAGGGGCGCTAGTGTAAAGGGGGTTCCATGGGAGTAATTAGCACACTTCTCAGATTATTCTGTAAAAAACTGCAGTGCATGTATAATTTTCCTTCTCCGCAAATCTGAGATTAAATAAATCAGACACAATCTCTACAAAATACACAGAAGTTTGGGTTATAATGTGACAATAAGTGAAAAAAGTTTAAATATTTATGATTTTAAAGCAGCATAGAAGAGACACTAAAAAAGGGAAAACTTACCAGAGCAGAGAGAATAAATAAGAGAAGAGATAAAGCAATGAGAGAATTAAAGATGCATTTACATTTAGAAAAGAAAGATAAAGCTGAGGCTTGAACTATAGAGTGTAAAGAAACACAGACCATGTGGATCCAGAGAGCCCTGCAATATATGTGGCACAGTCCAAGACCCCAGACTCAAACAGGGCCTTCATCACTCCAGAAAACCCAACCATTGCACGGAAACCCCCGCCTGAACCGGCTATGGCTATCACTGGTACCTGGAACACACATGCAGAGTCATAATGAGAGGAAGAATAAGGGAAATGCTTTAACCACTTATCTTCTGCCCACAAACTAAAGATTCAGTCTGGTTTATTCTTTCAGCTTGAGTAACTTCCATTTGCACAGCTTGAATACCGAGTTTGTTACATCATGTATTTACGACACACTTTGGCTGCTTCTTAAACCTTATTGTGCAACACTGGTTCCCAGCCTGTATTATCCATCATCTCGGAATATATCTGAAAAGGGAGTCAGATGGTTTTCTCAGTGCAAGGCTGTAACTGGATACCTTATCCCTCAGTAAGTTCTTGTACAATGAGGAAGGAGAAAGTCTGGCTAGAGATTATCTCCAGTCAGAAGGGGCATCAGGCCAAAACAGCACTGGCGGGAAAGGAAGCTTAACTAAGAGCATGGGAGAAAAGGTTGCAGCTTTGTATCTGAGCTTCCCTGTTTCTGAAAAAAAAGCTGGCACACAGTTTGGAAAATGTCAGGAAGTCTGAATCAGAGCTTGATAAAAGTGCCCAAAGACAACAGGCCTTTGCACTTAGGGCTGTTTTCTTTGGTCATTTTTCAATAATCTTCTCCAGAGCTAATCATAAGGGAGAACGTGCAGTGGAACAAAGATCTGACTGGAAGCACACATTAGAGCCATCACTGCGTCATACTGGTACGTGCTGGCAAATACAGATGCAACAGCAAATTTTGAACACTTAAATCCACAGAGTGGGTTGTCATGTGGTTTCATGCAAGTTGAGGGCTTAAGTAAGGCAATATGTAAAGCAGCTTTATGAAGGTTTTTTTTTTGAGGTTGGGTGTAAAGTGGCAGGCAATGGCGTAACTATCGGTAAGCAGAGACAGCTGTTGCTTATGGGCCCACGACCTCTTAGGGGCCCCATCACTAACACCTGGACGGCCCCCTATGCAACTGCAGACTAGGACGTCTCTTTGCACATGTAACAGTGCGGATAATCCCTCTTAAACCCACCTGATACTAAAGTGACTGACCGGACCGTATTTATTCCGCACATGCCAGATTTCAATATGATGGTGAGCCGTTTAAACACAACATCGAGGTAGTTTAAAGTGTATTTGTCATACAAATATAAAGGGATGAACGCATATCTGATGTCATGCGCATGGATTATGGGTATGCTGGTGCATGCATGGAGTTTGCCTGTTCTCCCTGAGCATGTGTGGATTGTCTCCAGGGTACTCCGGCTTCCTCCCACAGTCCAAAAACATGACTGTTGTTAATTTGCCCCTTTAAATTCACCTGAGGGTGTCTGAATGGTTGTTTGTCCAATTTGTCTCTCTGTTGTGTCAGGAAATTTTCATTACTTTATTTTTTACTTTTCTCCATAGAACTTAGAGATAGGATACCTTTTTATTATTGATTTTAAAATCATAATTTTTATCATCAGTACGTCCAATAACACGGCATAGAACATCATCTTGCTTTTACTGCTTCTCTAAAAATGCCTGTCCTTTCTATCTCCTCTTTCTTTCATCTTTTCTCCTTTCTTTTCTTTTTTTTCCTTTTTCTTCTACTGTTTTTCTGCTCTACTTACATTGCAGTGTCTATATAAACTGTAAAACTCCCTGCATAATTATAATAAAGCAATTTATATGCATGAAACAAGTGGAGCGGTATGGCAATTGCCATACCGCTCCACTTGTGAAAGTAAAATCTGTTGGGCTCTTTCTGGCATCAAGATAATTATTCTTATTGCCACAATGCCAGACAGGACACTGTAAAAAAAAAAAAAAAAATGCCTGTAGGATACGCGATCTGCTCATTTTAATGAGGCAGAATCAAAGAGGTTTGCACGTCTAAATATTTGCTGAGCAATCTTTGTACATCGCCCACAACATGCCCAATTATTGCAAATACAAAAGGAATTCATGAGCAATTTAAAACCCCTTATTTGGAATCTTAGAGGATCAGATTGAACTGCTGATTATTAAGCTGAAAATGAATTTCATATATCTCAAATTAAGCTAAAATTTGAGATAGAGTCATGTAGTGTTGATTTAAGAAATAAATTGTGTCCATTTACAATACATCAAAATAAACAAGGAGATTTGTTGAAAACGCCGCTGACTGATTCCAGTTATGACGGAATCCAGGCAGCCGGGTAAAAAAGAATTTAAGCAATGACTTAGCTCAGGGGTACCAAGTAAAAACCAGCGGGGTCCGAACAAAGAAAATCATCAACCAGTAAAGATCCAGAGACATTTTTAATCATAATCGTTACTTTAAACAAAATTTGTTTTTTTAAGTAGAGATTAACAATCATTTAGTTTGGTATAGAGACTCTTTTCTGATTCACATATTTTTTAAAAACACCTGAACTGACCATTTTTTTTTTTTTTTTTTTTTTGTGCCTTAAAAGAGAGAAGTGTGGTTTAAACTGTCCTGCAAGGCTTTAAACCTGGGTTTTAATGAAGACTAAGCCATTCTCAAGCACATATCAAGGTGCTCATCTTGAGCCTGGATCCATATTTATTTTTGATTCTGTTCATGGTGGAGAATCCTGCTTTACAGCAGCAGGTCGAGCCAAACATCCTCTAAATGTGCAGGGTCATCTTTGAGCAAGCCATTTCACTTTTCTTTCACTAGGTTACCACGGTTCTCTCAGCAGTTCACACTTTCTCAGCTTTCTGTTTCTCACCATCTCCTCCTTCTCTCCACTCGCCCGGCTTGCCACAGGTTTAATGCTGTGTCTAAAAGTGGCTCCAAGCAGTGACCCAAACTGAAGCAGCTCATTGGCTAATTTATATCAGGTGCAGCCTGGTCCCAGAAGCTCCTGATGGCTTTACCATATTAACATGAGAAGCGGAGCAAGAGAAGTTAGACACTGCTGTTGGAAAACATGCAGTAATTTATAAATTTTTAAAATCAGGTTGGGTCCGGATTAGCCATAACCTGAATCCGCCAGATGGATTTACTCCGCATATCCATCTGGAAACCTTCCGTTGAAGTAATTTTGGGAAGGGGCGAAAATACTGGTTAGCTGATTGGCCTGTTGGTGATAGACGGGCCAAATAAACCAATCAGATCAACGAAGCATATGACGTACTAACAGAGCGACGACGAAGAGGAGCTAATTGATAGATCAAACTCTTGCCGAAACCAGTCGGGAGAAGAGCAAAAACATCTTTTCCTCTGAGAAAAGCCTCCAGAGCAGTGTTTTGCTCTTCTTACAGTGAAGAAATACTCTGAAATTCCGATAAAACTTGCTCGATAGCCACGCTAACGCTAGTTTCATCGGCTGAAGCCGCCATGTTCTTTAGACTGAACCGTCGCGCTTCTCGTTGCGTCACACCTCAACCCGCCTCAAAGCCAACACTGATTGGACGTTCGTTTGGTGAACGGCTCCAAATTTTCTTTAACGGAGAGTCTCCAGACTGATCTGCGAGTGAAACCTTGAAAGCTCGCGAGATCAGGATGGTCTCACGAGGCTAGATTAGCCAGCAGGTGGGTCCGGATCCGGATCGTGGTCCGCTAATCCGTGACCTCTGACCTAGCTTGTTACGAATGACTAATAATTAAACTTTAACTGTAAGTGTAAAAAAAGCAAAAATAATCTGTGGTTCTGTACTTGCCTCTACAGGAGAGCTGGGGAGGAAGCGAGGCTTCTCCATGTCGAGAAGCTTTTTAATGCCGAGCATCACTCTTTCTCTACGGGTGTGTCTAAACTGCTTCTCTTTGTCACACAGGGCCAAGCTGAATCTCAGGTCAAGGTTTGTGCTGGAGAAAAAAAATAACAAAAAGCAAGATTTAGGCTTTACAAGAAGTCACGAATCATGTTTAGTGGAGACAGTTTTAGAGGAATGTCTAAGCGTGATATTTAAACTGATCATTAGTTCCTTTTAGATATGCTGTTTGGTGAGCCAGTGTGAAACACACACAAACTTTTACCACAATACTGAGTATAATTACTAACCTTTCCTGGAACGTCTCCATCAATACAATGATTGTAATAAACCAGTTTTATATTGTCATTAGATGACTAAGAACTTGTGTTGTGTTGCTTCTTGTGTAGCAGCAACTTTATTGAGGTATATTCCTCGTTAAATTCAAATAAATAGTTTAAAGTCTTTATAATACAAACCAGATTTCCACCTTCAACTCCAAGTGAACTTTGGTTGCCTGTAAACATAAATAATATATGTTAAGTGTGACAGAAGCTACAGTAGGTACAAAAAAAAAGATCCCCATGTCCCCCGCATCCCACACACCCCTCTTTTCTCGTTGAACTAGTTTTTCATTATTTCTTTGGAACTCATTTGCAAAGATTTAAATGGAGGGGGAAATATCGTACGTCAACATTTGTGATTCAATGTATGCGTCAATTAAGAAACAATGAACGGCTTACTTTTCCAAATTTGAAAATTTCCAGTTTTGTCTGGCCCACTTTGAGCTTGCTGATGTCAAAGGATGCGGTTCCAAGTGTCTCATCCATCACATAGTTGGCATCCATTAATGTCAGCTGATTGGGAAAAAAAAACAAACAGCAGGGTTTATGCTTTAAAAAAATGTTAATTCCCCGAATATATTTAGGCTGTTCAAGTTTAGAAATAATGCCCCAAGCAAAGAAAGCTATTACACTAAAAATTTTGAGTTTCCGTGGTTACTGTAATGCCATGTAATAACACAAACTGTGTATGCATGGATTTTCATCCGGATGCATCATTCGTTTGGTCGTCCTGAACAGAACTAGACTAGAGTCTCACCTCCAGGACATTTTGCTGGCTGGGGTCTAAAATGAAATGAAAAGTCTCGTTCCATTTTGGGTTGATGTCGTTGTCTATGTGCTTAGTCCTCTTCCTGCTCTCTGGGGCCGTCGGGATGAACAGCTCCACATATGGATCTGGGGTATCCACTGAGCACACAAAGATTAGGTTAGCTTGGTTAGATTTTATTTTGTATTTTTTTATTTGTTCATTTTGGTAGTTCTCTTCAGTGTTTTTGACAATGTTTGGCTTTTTAAAGTGATTTATGAGTAAAGTTGCTTGACAGTTGGTTCTGGAAATTTAAATCTGAACATGAAAAGATTCAACATATCATTATCAGTTCGTATGAAATCGTACGAAAAGTTATGCACAGTATTTCGTATGTTTTTTAAAGTTTTTCCTCGAAAAAACACATCAGTGCGCATGCGCAGGCAGACAGACGAAAAAAGCAGATCCGCGGACGGACGTAAAATTGGGAAAAACAGTGCAATAATTACTTCTTTATGTCTCTAACTACGTTTCTTGCTGTTTTGTATCTTAGGGTCAGGGTCAGGGTTAATTGTATGTTAAATTCTATGTTATTGAATGGTGCGTAAGATGCGCATGCGCAAGGATATCTTGTCTCGAGGCAAGACGTAAAAATAAGATGAAATACGATTAAATAAAATGTCAAAAACGTACGAAATTACGGGGCATAACTTTTCGTACGATGTCATACAAACTCATAATGAGAATACACTGAAAGATTGCAAACTGATTGTCTCCAGGCTCTACTCTGTGGTTGCTTTTATTTATTGACTACAGTCAGATGACATATTACATCTACTATGAGTATACCGAGTGCACACATCTTTATACTTCCATGTCAGCTCATGACCATTGTCTCTTACAGAAAAATAAAACTATTTGTTAGCTATGTGAATGGAGTCGTATATATATCATCTTACCTCTCATTTTTTTAAGAGGATTAAAAATAGCATTTCAAACTCCATGATTTTTTTATTTATTTTTTTTGAAAAATGACTTAATATGCATATTGATAACTTTCCTACTCAAAATTATGAATGAATGTCATATTAATGACTTATCTAAATAACTGTAAATACTTACACAAGTCCCCCAGAGCTCCTTTTGTAACATTTTCTGCACGAACGACAGTCACCGTGAACTTATGAGAAATTTGGTGCTCCACCTGCAACACAAGTTGTTACTAGCGTCACTATCTTAGATGACAAAACATCACAGTACCGACAACAATGACAGATCTGCAGGTTTTGACATACCAGCTGATAATAAAACCATTTTAAAGCTAATTCACACTGTTGGAAAACTTTCCATATAAGTATGCCCAGGTAGTCCATGGTATGAGATATGTTTAATATACACATAACTATGTGTTTTATTTTTATTTTTTGTGAGGTTGTTTGGGCATGTAATGAGGAGAAAACTATGTCGAAGTCAAGCTTCACAAAACGGGTAAAACACATCTGCTTTGGGGAAAATACAAAGTAAAATCTAGAAATTGCAAAGTAAACCACCCAGATTTGCCTCCATCTAAAAACAGGCTGTCTGTATTTAACAAGCTTGGCAGACCAGGATGTACACAATCCAATAAACTTTCCAATAAACAGTATATCTAAACCATGGTGGGATCAAAGGAGGACAGAAAAAACGATCAAGTAAAGTAGAAATCCTCTTTGAGTTTAAGAAAAACATTTTGGGACAAGGAGGCAAATGGGAGGTAATGAAGGAAAATGCAGGACACTTAAAAATGACTTATGCAAACATCACAAAAATCAGCTTCCAACCAGCCTCATCCACTTATAAATCACTCCCCAGTCTTTGCCTTACCTTGTCCTTCAACATAGATTCCATCTTATAGTGTTTGTATTAAAATCCTCTACTTGTTCTGTTTTCTTTTCAGAACACCACATGGAAGTTTGGGCTTCTTGTTTGTATTTTAACTGATAACCGTTTTGAATCTGTGTAAAAGATTGCTGCTCTACTTTCTTTAAATTTCAAAAAATGGCTTTTAGAAGAACTCTTTTGACTTTTAATAATTTTACCAAGTAAAATCGGAGTGGCGGCCTAGTGGTTAGTGGCATAGGGCTTTGAATCCTGAGGTTGTGAGTTTGAACCCCCACTCCCACAGACTGCCACTCTTAACCCCAAAACTGCTCCGCCAGGTCTCGCACAATGGCAGCCCACTGCTCCCCAAGGGGATGGGTTAAATTCAGAGAAGTAATTTCCTTCTGGGATTATCAAAGTATAAAAAAAATGCAGGATATTGTTTCGATTTGTAAGACAGAAGGGGAGGGAAGGGAAATTGCATCACATTTTCTAGACATCGGGTCAACCTTTGGAAATTAGAAACCTCTACGCAGCCAGGATGACAGGAAATAAAGTTGCATCGGAGCTAGGTGAGTCGGATGCAAGCGCTGTGTCCTGGCCTTAAAGGTATAGTGGAGGATGTTCTTTTTCCAGTTGGATCATCTAAATCAGCTGTCCCCAACCTTTTTTGCGCCACGGACCGGTTATATGTCAGACAATATTTTCACGGACCGGCCTTCACAAAGATAGGATGTTATAGATAGGATGCGTCTTGACCTGAATTAACCTGTGTCACGAGGCACAGATGCACCGACTGATGTAATTGGGAGATAATACCCCAATGTCTTATATTTTTCAAAATCACATCACTCAGATGAAAGTGCGCATTCAGCTCGGCAAAGAACTCATGCTCTTCATCAACACTGAAGTCCTCAGACATTTTTCTTTCGTTGTTTCTTTCTTTGCACAGGTAAACAGCACATTTCTTCTTCTACGCTTGCATTATCGGCAGAGCAGACGCTGAATGCGCACTTTCATCTGGTTTGGTCTGCCGCGGTTTCCGTAGACTCGTGAACGCGCTTTTAGGAAATCCTATACACTACTGTTTATGCTCTAAAAACATTCTAAATGACTTTGTTTCGAGTAAATTATGGACGCTATCCACTCAGGACACTTGGAATACATTGGACGAGCAGTATGGAGGAATATTGACACGTTTTTTGTGGACTTTTATGGACCTTTCTGCCTCGGGCGCCATAGACCTCCATTATTTGAATGTCGGCAGACAGCAAGAAGCCTCCCAGATCTCCAGATGCATTTGAGATATCAAAAAAGTACTCCAGAGTGTTGTTCAGCATGGGGGTGAGTAGAAAATGAAGGCTAATCATGTTTTGGGTGTACTATTCCTTTAAGAGGAGTTCCCTCTTGGGAGAGGGTACAGGGTTGTACATGTGTATTTTTCAGCAGTTTTCTCTCAATTGTTAGAACTACATGGGAAACTGCTCAGAACTTAAAATATATATATATATTTTCCCGAAATTCCCGAAGATTCCTCGGAGGCGATGCAGAGCCGTGCCGGGGCCTACACAGCTCGTACTCCTGCGGGTGTGAGCGGCTGAGATGATAAAAAAAAGTTGGTTGTGTTATCAGACTTCGTTTTCACTGGTTCCCTACACATTTTACAGATGACTGTGGTTTGTTTTTTGTCCGACTTGCCATAACCGAAATACTGCCAAACTGGAGAACTACAAAAACCCTTCTTTGGAACAATTTCCTCCGCCTCTCCTTGCTGCGACATCTTCATGTGCTCTGTGTTGTGGTTTGAGAGGGCGGCGCTTGGTGACGTCGTGCCTGGGTCCGCGATTGCGATTGGTTAGGAGGAAGTAGTGACTAGCATAAACCTACATGCTAGGCTACAATGAGAAGGAAGGAAAACTGCGTTTCTTTATCAAACTTTTATCGACTCTCTTTTTTTCTATTGCGCCACACGTCTATCGATCGATATATATCGTTATTGAATTATCGCCCAGCCCTAGGGCAGGTCGTTTCAAACATTCGAGAAAATCCGCCATTATACCTTTAGCTCTATCAAATGGGGTTCCCTTTGGAAAGGTTACCAGTCTTAGGCATAGACACAAACAACATGCAACCATGGATGTAGTCAATCAAATTTAAGGCCAAATTAGAATGACCTAAATTAACCTAAGCTTAATACTTTTGGACTTTATAGGGAGGACAGAGTACCTGAAGGGGGCTTGCACATGCATGGGAGGAACATGCACTTAGAAAGACTCCAAATCCAGCACCTTCTAGGTTGACTGACTTTCATTCTTGTAGCACTTTTAATATTATCTTGACAAATAATGAAATAATCAGTCAATGGCCACAAAAATGCTATCGCTGGTAAATCACTGAGAAACACAATCATCTGGTTGATAAAACAGCTAAAAAGTAAATATTTACCTCCAGAAAAAAAGACAAGAATTTCAATTTTATTTAAATAGTTTGCTGGACATTATTTTTTGTTGTTTGCTTTAAAAATTAAAATGACAGAGTTCAAACTTTGAGGGTTTATGTTCTGAGCCCTTGTTAGCTTGATTTTAATATCTTTTTCTCCAAAGTGAGGTCACTCTGACTGTTATCTTCTGCGGAGCAGGATATTGGTTTTCTGAGCAGTAAGCAGAACCACTCAAACACAAATTAAGCTTTCCGAGAATGATATTACTTTATTACAGTAATTATAGCCCCAAGCTACTTATGTCAGATACTTTGAAATATGTTGACACTCTATGAGTTTGTGCTTGGCGACCTTCCCATTCAACATAATGCAGCCAGCATTTTCCGAACTGACGAAGGCAAAACCATTTATCTAACAGGAGCTGGAATATCATGAGACTGACATGAAGTGGCAAGGTGCTGGCTGACACTTTAAAATTAAAAAAATATTACTAATGGCTTCAGGTGTGCATTTATACTTTTAAACAATAGCCCTAGGAACTTGGGGGTAAATTGAGATATTTAAAATTAATATCTCAGCAGTTGGCAATGGCAGAATATTTTTTTTAACTTGTAGTCTGCAGGCTTCATTTATTCGGTTAATTTAAAGACAGGTAATTTTGCATTTTTTTCATCTGTTGCTATGATGAATAATATTCTTTTCCATTTAAGACCAATGATTGAAATCCTGCCTAACAAAGACGCACTTTCCGAAGTTCTTTTAAATGTTTTATATCCCTTAATATGTCATTTCAATTTATTTTTTTTATTTATTAAAACATATTTTATATTAATTGGCATTAGGTTTGGTACTTGTGTTAAACCCCCGAATACTAAACATTTAAAATGTGTGGATTTGAAAAAATATATAAATATATTACCTAAAATGAGTCTAAGTGTTTTTAAAATCCCCAAGACACTCTCTGCTGAAAGACTACAAATAAAAATATTATCATTTTAAAGTGTAATCTAAAAAATAAAAAAAAAACTGAAAAAACAAGCTAGTATATATTCTGAGCTAACATTTTTTTGTTTTCTGTTAATGGACATCACAAATAAACTGATAAAGTAATTATTTATCTATATAAAATCAAGGAACTTGACCTTGATCAGAGACGATATGACCATAGCCCCATAAACACTATCCCTTTAAAACTGCAAAAATAACCGAAATAAGTTTTGACTGTAAATGGCACGCAAAACTGAACCGGACCGTGCCAGACACAGCCGAACCGCGCTAAACTGGTACTAGTTCAACAGCAGGGCTCGACGTGGTTCAGTTCTGGCTCACTTCTCATCTCCTTATGCTACGTTCACACTGGACGCAGCAGGCGCAGCAGAAGCAGCGAGTTAACATGCAAAGTCAATGGTTGACGCGAGTCAAGGCGCAGCAAAAGGTCCCGCAGCGCGTTTTGAGCAGCAGGCGCAGCGCGTGTCAGATGCTTTAACGCTACCGACGCGAGATGGAAAAATTTAACTTTGGCTGCTCGACGCGCCGCATCAACCAATCAGAGACGCGGATGTGGGAGCTGGCCGTGAGACAGACAGATCGCTGATGATACAGAGCGCTGTGATCGCTCCTCTGAAACAGTTTATTAATGCCTAAATTAACTTGAAATGCTGAAATCTGCCGACAAAGCGTGTCCACTTTTATTATCCTGGTGCCTGCAGTTTGGATTATGTACATGAAAACCACCTTCCAGCCACCGCGGCGAACCGCGAGGAGGCGACCGCGCCATAGGCTGCTGTTGAATGGGATTCCTACTGACAGCGCACCGCTGGTATGTGGGGGTCTGAGCGGCTCCGACAGAAATAATATTGGAAGGCAGGATGGTAATCTGGATGAACTGACTGCACTGATTAAGTTTTCAGGTGTATTTTCTCACTTAAAAACATATTAAAACTACTGTATTCCCACTGATCACAGCAAATACAGCTGCAAGGCAGAGAAAGGATAGAGTAGCTCCGCCCAACACGCGTCAGACACACTTTTGCACCACGCGACTGAAGCAGCTCTGCGCGTCAGAACTAAACTGATACAAGCAGCAAAAATGAAGCAGCAGACGCGATTTTGCTGCCCCTGCTGCGTCCGGTGTGAACGTAGCATTACAGTCAGCCTCCATAATCATCAAATATAAGACATTCATAAAAAAACAAGCTTCCCTATCGTGCCATATGATTTCCAGGGATGATTCTGCTTAGCAGTTTCATGAACCTTAATGTCTGTTGTTGTTTTCATGCGTCTGTAAGCCCTGATTAGACTGATGTTTGTCGCATCCACTTCCCAAAAGCCGACTCTCTCAAGTAAATTCAACAAAGGCTGCCTTCTCTGCCTGACTCTCCCAAACAACAAAATATAACGACTAAGGCCCCGTCCACACGAAGTCAAAACGAACACGAAACGCTAATATTTTCCAGAACGTCTGTCGTAAAGACGGAGACGTAAAATAAAAGTGATCGTCCACACGAATGCATAAAAACGCTGCAAAATGTATGCCAGGCCTGTAAGTGGCGCTGTGGTGCCAAAGCAAAAATAGGCGACGAAATGTTGGGCATGCGCACTAATATTTATACATGGTTGCCCTGCGGGTCCATTTTCGTGGTTCAGTCAAATTCAGGTGCTGAACTATGTCGTCGATATTGCTCTGTTCTTCCTGGAGATATTCCAGAAGAAGAAGATTCTGTTGTAAGCCCGACAGCAGGGTGAGTAGCATGAGCAGCAACCATTCAACACAGTACGGCGCCATTGTTGTTGTGATACTGTGTCGCGCATGCGTGTTTAGAGGCGACGCTATGACGCATGCGTGTAAAAAAAAAAATGCGGTTAGAGCTTAAAGAGGGAAACGCGAAAACGGCGTTTCAAAATCTTCCCACTCTGAAGGCTGAATAAAAAAAAGATCGTTTACAGACCCCCGAAACGCCGGCTTCGTATGGATGAGAGGCTGGTTGGGTGAAAAATTTGTGCATTTAGGCCAGGATTTGACTTCGTGTGGACGGGGCCTTAAACCAAACTTCCTGCATGCTGGTTTTCTTGTTTACCTCTAGAGAGACGTAGTACGATAGATCACCACTAGGAGGCGAGAAGCTGTGCTAGTGTGGTTTGTAAACGGTTCGTAAGGAACTGAACTCGGCACGGATCAGTTTTTAGAGTGTAGTGTAAATGGGGCTTGTGTCCCATATCTATAATTGCAAAAAAGGATCTATTATTAAGTTTCGTTTTTATGATGTATCTAATATCTAAATCATATCAAAATCCCCATACTCACAATTATGCTGGTTGCCATTGCAGTGTTTGGAGAGTTGATGCTCAGGAAGCCTTCGATGTCACACAAACTTTACTCAGGACAACATCTTAGTCTCAAACTGATGCAGTCAAACTGAAACAAAAAAAGAAGAAATGCAACTTAAGATGCTGTTCTGAACTTTTTTTTTTTACCCTAGAGCTATAACAAACAGAACTGCATTTGTTTAAACTTTGTTTTCAGTTAAATATAAACGAAAATGAAAAAGAGAAACTATTGCAGCTTCTTTTTTGAAGTAGCATTTTGAGTAAAGCGAAAATGAAAGGATAAAAAGATAAACACCAAGCATCAACGCTCTGTCCTAAAAGCTTTCTCCGATTTTCAATAAACTAAAAAAAGAAAACAGCATCAGGGAACCTGCAGTATGCCGATGCATCTACAGACTGCTATAGAATGGTAAATGTTTTAAGTGAAAGAGATAAAAAGTTACATATTTAAGGGAAAATGTAGCTGTTTGATAGCAAAGGTCCTGAGATATGCCCCAACCAAGCAGGCCAATGCTTTAAAAACTCTCATTATCAGTTCAGCCTTTCACGTCTTGTCAGGGCCAAGGGGAAGTGTGCTTAGCCACTGAGTTATTATTAGGCCTAGAAAAAATGTGCTTTTGCATGTTCTTATGTATATATAAAGCAAAATGACATGAAAAACATCTTACCAGTGTTTTTATTTATTTGTTAGGCGGTCCAGGAGGAATTTGGGGCTATGTGCAATGCTTTGCAATTTGTTGAATATTTTACTCAAGTTCCAAACAGCGTGTCATGAAAACAATTCATATGATATCATATATCAAGGAAAAACCATAATACTTCAGTGTGATAGGACACGTCTTTTTAAACTCACACATCTGACATAACTGCTTTAAAGCTTTCACAGATCACCTAAATTTACACTGAATTATATGAAATACACCGTTTGGACTCTACTAATCAATGTGATGTGATGGCAACTAGTGTTGCACCGATACTGATACCAGTATCGGGCAGATTCCAGATACAGCATTAAAATTATGTATCAGCAAGTACCAACAAATAGGGCATCTATACCATTTTGAGAGCCAAAAGTTTCTTCAACTATTGTCACCCATTCCAGGTAGGCAATAAAGTTCTACTGGATTCATTTTGTATTAGTCATTTTCCTGCTTTACAAAGGTAGGCCGCAGCTTGACAAAGCCATGATGGCAATTATTTTACATCCTAGTATGCAGTTCTTCATACATACACACACACATCAATTTCAAACAGATGGTATCGGTATGGTATCGTCCGATACTGCACAGTTGTCAGGAATCCAGTTTGTGTGGTCTGTTTTTGTGTTTCCTTTCCTCCTCCACCAGGTGGTGCCTCGTCCTCATTGAGTCTCCCTGCACACCTGCAGCTCATCACCTCGTTACCTTTTGAGTGTTTTTAAGCTGCTGACTGCCACTTACTCGTCGCCAGAGTGTTTGCCAACACAGGGCACTCTAGCCATGCTTAGTTTAGCAGAGTCTAACCTGAGTTTTTGTTTGCCAGTTTGGATTCTCTAGTCAAGCTGAGTTTTTCTGAGTCAAACTGAGTTTTTGTCAACCTGAGTCTTAACTTTGTTTTTGTCTTTGTCTCTCGGCAGGAAGTCATCCAGCAAACTGGGTTTGTTCGGTCCTTCTCTCTCTGGAAGGTTCAACTGAGCTTCTAACTGAGCTGGGGTTTTTAACAGGAAGTTTGGATCCACTTTCCCCAAGAGGTCGTTTGAGCTTCACACCAAGCAAAGGTTTCATCTCCACCGCAGCCCGTTCAAGTACCGCAGGAAATCAGAGTGGCAGTCAGCCTCTTTATTCACTCCAAACAATAAGTTTGGATCAACTCTCAAAAAGTGGTTGTTTGAGCCTCTCGCCGAGCAAAAGTTTCATCTGCACCACCGCCCGTTCAAGTACCGCAGGAAAACTGAGTGATAGGCAGCTTCTCCATTCACCTAGGAACAACCGCCGTCCGCTGAGTAACCCAGTCCACCCATCACCAAACAAGACAATCTCTGGTTCAATCCTCACAGTCTGGATCCCATAAAGGACACCATTCCCTGGAGAAGTGAGTCTGCAACCTTTCCTCCAATTCTAAACCTAAGATTCAAATTTCCCACTGAGCCTGAACTAACCGCAGTGTCTTCCCCTCACCTTTCAGTCTCTGTTGAGCAGTGCTCAGAGCAGCACTGGATTCATCACATCAATACAAAATAAGGCCCCGTCCACACGAAGTCAAACCCTGGCCTAAACGCACAAATTTTTCACCAAACCAGCCTCTCATCCACACGAAGCCGGCGTTTCGGGGGTCTGTAAACGATCTTTTTTTTATTCAGCCTTCAGAGTGGGAAGATTTTGAAACGCTGTTTTCGCGTTTCCATCTTTAAGCTCTAACCGCATTTTTTTTCTTACACGCATGCGTCATAGCGTCGCCTCTAAACACGCATGCGCGACACAGTATCACAACAACAATGGCGCCGTACTGTGTTGAATGGTTGCTGCTCATGCTACTCACCCTGCTGTCGGGCTTACAACAGAATCTTCTTCTTGTGGAATATCTCCAGGAAGAACAGAGCAATATCGACGACATAGTTCAGCACCTGAATTTGACTGAACCACGAAAATGGACCCGCAGGGCAACCATGTATAAATATTAGTGCGCATGCCCAACATTTCGTCGCCTATTTTTGCTTTGGCACCACAGCGCCACTTACAGGCCTGGCATACATTTTGCAGCGTTTTCATGCATTCGTGTGGACGATCACATTTATTTTACGTCTCCGTCTTTACGACAAATGTTCTGGAAAATATTAGCGTTTCGTGTTCGTTTTGACTTCGTGTGGACGGGGCCTAAACCTGTCTAAACTTTTCCCTGGTCTCTCTGTTTGGTCTTCTGCGTCTTGGGGTCAGACCTTAGAATTAAATCATGACAACAGCCAGGTATCGGGCCCAAAAATGGCATCGGCGCAAATCTAGTGGCAACTGGCTGAATCTCATTTAGGTTGGGGGACCACCACAAAATGTATGCCACACTTTTCAGATTTTTGTTATTGAGAAAAAAGAAGAAAAAGGGAAAAAAGTTCACAATTATAATTTATGTTTGTCTATAAAAAAAATGGTTTGTGGCTTTAAGGGTTAAAATATCCGTTTTTATACCCATTACTGGAATATACAAATAGGTTGCTGTGTCACGTACCCGGCAGCAAAATGTAAAGCTTGGTGTTTATTTGCAAAAGAGGTGACAGGCTGATTATTTTTAGCCACACAAATAACTTTTTCTTTTTTTTTCTTCTCCAGAAATTTGCATGAATGGTGCACGAACGGTTCACATGTGGCGGTGAGAAAGCAGCTGAAAGTCCAGTTCAGTCATTTCTTAGCTGCTCATCAGAGCGTGTTAATGTCCAGGGGGGGCAGAGAAGCACGTAGAGGCTGTGGATTCACTGCAGCCCTCACGTACTCTGCAACAAAAGGCTTCATCTTGTGAAGGTGCCAGCTTTCAGCACTGACTGGCCCGGTTCTGCAGCACACAAAGAGCGCGCGCGTCCTGGCGGCCCCAGGTACAGGGGCCCCTGGGCTCTAACATTTTCATAAAGTACAGCGAAGCTGCCATGATGCAAAACAGCTGCAGTAATCCAACTTTCAATACATGCTCTTCATACGCAGGCCATAACCGGAGACATTAAAACAACAAAAAGTGAGGATTACTTATGAAGTATTTTGTAGTAGGAGAACTATTAAAGTGAGAAATACTTTGCAGTGTTTCACAAGCTTCTCTAAAAACAAAAAACCGGCCAATCGACCCCAACAACTGGTTTGACCTGATACTTTCCAGACGACCTTACTATGTTATGTCTATTCACTTTAATGCGTTATGTCTGATTATGCAAAACAATACAGATGATAGTAAAGCTAAAAAGGAAAATGCAATCTCACCAATGTTTAAACTATAGGGAACTTTTTATCGATCCCTTCCAACAAAATGTTGATCCACATTTAAAAAAAAAATGGCGTTAAAACGCACATATGTAGGTAGACATTTGAAATGCACTTTAACGCGCATTATTAAAAAGTTTTCAGCTTCCTTATTCAGCGTGGAGAGACACGGAGACGCTGCGTTAACCCTTCAACCATTGCGCTGAAGTCGGGTTTATGCACATCTTTACGCATCCGTCCGATTCTCGTTCAGGAAAGAGGAAAGTTATTGTGCAAATAAAGAAGAAAACAGAAACGTACCGGAGTTAGAGTTGGTTTCAACCTATAGATCCATTTAAATGTGTCATGTTGAGCGATCATATGGTTGTTGAGGAATGGAGTTAGAGGAGGAGGCGCTTCTCGGCACCCGGTAGTCAGGAAGATTTCAGCGATCAAACTAATGCAATTAATACAAATAAGTGGATTTAAAAAAAAGGCTAAATTTGGGAAAAAGGATGATGGTGGAAATCCAGGATTGAATCAACAAACAAAAGTTGACGCAGCAGGAAGAAGCGATGATGTCTCACCACAGTGAAACTTGTCAAAGCGCCAGGGCGTAATTTCCTCCACGATGCGCAAGGTGGCACTTTTCCACTTAATCTAAAACTACACGTCATGTATGTGTCAAATAAATGACAACTACTGAAAAAAAATATATATATAAACTGATTTCATTCTGATTCACTCTACTGCTACCCTACTTCATTTATTTAAATATAATAAAATAACAATAAAATTAATAAAGTTTTGATTTTTTTTTTCTCCAAGAAAATCACTTTGTTCTTCAAAAACGCGTGAACTCTTTACTTATTCCTTTTTTATTAGGCGAAAATGAATAATTCTCATATCATGTATAATTAATGCAGATGAATACAAATGTTTTGGTTGATATAAAGTGATCTGCATTAAGATCTAAGTTTTTTAGGGCTAGGTTGGTCGATAAAACACACAAAAAGTAGGTAATATCAGAGTTATAATCTATATACAGAAAAAAACACTTTATTTTTCCGTATCCGATTAACTCAAGGCTTGAATATCTAAAATAATGTTGTTTTGAGTCTCATTCTGTGTGACTTTCCTCCCATAAAGCTATTAGGACCAGTTATAGAAGAAATTTCAAAATACGTAATATGTACAATAATGGTTAGATAGTCAATCTATTTTAAAATGTGGATCAAACTTTATCCAATTCTAAAGCCACTTCTGAGAACTATATCCAAACACTTAATCCTTTATAGGACAAGTTACAATTTTTGATCACTTGCATCCCCTTCCCTCCTGTCCCTCAGTGAGGTCTATTATATATATTACCTAATGTAAATTATGTTGAAAAACAAGTTAACAAGTCAAGAAAAAAAGGTAAAAAGCTAATTGAAAGTTAAAAAGTGAAGTTAAAGGTTAATAAGCCTAGTTAACAATAATATTTATGTTTATAAACTAAAGAAAGTAAGTGCGAGTATCAACATTAATGCCTCTAAGGTTATGTTGTACCAAAAACTGTGTTTTTCATGAATTTCTTATAGAAAAACTTTTCATTTTTCTTAATAAATTCAGGCAAGTTGGCATTTCTTGTTATTACATTGACATTAATTTTTTCCATCCATATTTTTTTATGTTATAAAGGTGATAAGGTCTTGTCCTGGATTCCAATAACACTATTGGTTGGACATTTTTACCCACCCACTTAACACATTTTTTTTTTGTTAAGTGGGTGGGACTGTGTTATAAGCGGAGGTGCACTGGTTCCATTCACACAGATGCACAGGAGTGAAAGAGCAACTACAGTCAGAAGAAGACACAGCAGAAGGATCGGACTTAGTCTTATAGAGCATGAACGGACTTACAATCACAGTTTTAACTTTAGCAGTCAGCTTTACTTTCTGTGAAAAAGGTAAGGAAATGACTCTGGTTAATTTTGCATACATTTTCTCTCAGTTAAAATAACTGTTGTCAGTGATTCGATGTCATGGAAATGTTAAAAAAAAGCTTTATCTCATAAAAAAATTTGTTTTTTTGGATGAATCAGCTCCAACAAACCCCTGCTGCTCAGAGCCATGCCAAAACAGGGGGGTCTGCACGGCCATGGGTTCAGATAATTATGAATGTGACTGCACACGCACTGGATTTTATGGACAAAACTGTACAACACGTAAGTAGCACAGAAAGTCTATGACTAAGAGTAATTTAAGATGCTTAAATTTGAATTGCTGTTGTCGTTTAGTTGCTCATCTTCCTCATATTTGTCATTTGCAGCTGAATTCCTCACCTGGATAAAAGTTTCCCTCAAGCCTTCGCCCAACACGGTTCATTACATCTTGACTCACTTCAAAGGATTTTGGAACATCATCAACAGCATCTCATTCCTAAGGGATGCCATTATGAAATATGTGCTGACATGTAAGCCCCTTCACTTCTCAGTTAAATTGTTAAATTATTTAAAAGGAAAAAAATGGAAAGATTAATTCTATTTTGTTTTGTTTAATCCAGCTCGATCCCATATGATCGACAGTCCTCCCACTTATAATGCTGATTATGGATACAAAAGCTGGGAAGCCTATTCCAACCTATCCTACTATACTCGTGCCCTTCCGCCTGTACCTGAGGGTTGCCCAACCCCTATGGGAGTAGTAGGTGAGTACATTTTCTCTGCCTCACGAGAACCAGTTTTCTTAGATTCCTATTTTAAGCACATGAGCATCCTGTTCCAATTACATCAATGGAAGATTACAAAAAAAACTTTCGTGTCACTTTGGAATGAGGGGAAATAATCTTGAGCAGGCAGGCCAAAACCTGTCCGAGCATCACAAAAGCTAAATGTTGGATCCTAGCCCTTAAATTATATCACATACATAAACTGGTTTACCACTGTCTGTGTTAAACTTGTGTTTCTCCTGTTTTTTTTTTTTTTTCTTTTTCCAGGTAAAAAGGAGTTGCCTGATGTTAAGGTTTTGGCTGAGAAGCTCTTGGTGAGACGGCAGTTTATTCCAGACCCGCAGGGAACCAGCTTGATGTTTGCGTTCTTCGCGCAGCACTTCACGCACCAGTTCTTCAAATCTGATATGAAGAACGGACCTGCTTTTACCGTGGCTAAAGGGCATGGGGTATGTAGTCAAATCCCAAATAGACCAAAAGACACAATTTCTAGAGAGCAAAAATAAATCAGGACCTTTTTTTATAGGTGGATCTTGGGCACATTTATGGAGAAAACCTGGAGAAGCAACACAAACTCAGGCTTTTCAAGGACGGCAAGCTAAAATACCAGGTAAGAGCAGAGAGAGAAACGCTTCAGATTAGAAGAGGCTGAAAATCTGCATTTATGTCTCATAATTATGTCTCATAATTACTCTACAGATACTAAACGGAGAGGTTTATCCACCACTGGTTAAGGATGTGGGTGTTGAAATGCACTACCCACCACACATCACAGAGTCTCAGCGCTTCGCTGTTGGCCACGAGGCTTTCGGCCTGGTCCCCGGTCTCATGATGTACGCCACCATTTGGCTTCGTGAACACAACAGAGTGTGTGACATTTTGAAGGAAGTTCACCCTGACTGGGATGACGAAAGACTCTTCCAGACGGCTCGGCTCATCCTTATTGGTGAGAAAATCCGACTTCTGCAAAAGGGATTATAAAAATGTTTCATATTACTTCCCATTATTGCTCATGTGAAATGAGCAATAATGTTTTTAGTAGGGGAAGTTGTGATTTTTAGTTTTGGCATTTCTTTGAACAAAGCCATTGATCATGGTCAGAGGAGCATGAACGAGAATCACAGTGGTAAAACTTTAGTTTCCTTTTTGTAACAGAAAGAGGAAATGTTTCTCTAAATGCAAATTAAGAAGTAATAACAGGAAAGGTTACTTTAGATTAAATATTTAATCCCTTTGCCCTCTAGGCGAGACCATCAAAATTGTGATTGAGGACTATGTTCAGCACCTGAGTGGATATCACTTCAAACTCAAGTTCGACCCGGAGCTGCTGTTCAACCAGCGCTTCCAGTACCAAAACCGCATCGCATCCGAGTTCAACACCCTGTACCACTGGCATCCGCTGATGCCTGACAGTTTCCACATTGAGGAGAGGGATTACAGCTACAAAGAGTTTGTCTTCAACACCACTGTGGTGACCGAGCACGGCATCAACAACCTTGTTGAATCATTTTCTAAGCAGATTGCAGGACGGGTAAGCAGTCTTAACGCAGATGCAGAAACGGTTAGATATTAAGTGTGACATAGTTTCAGAGCCTCATGACTGTAACGCTTTTTGACAGGTTGCTGGGGGTCGGAACGTCCCGGGAGCCATCCTGTATGTGGCAATCAAGTCCATCGAGAGCAGCAGACAAATGCGTTACCAATCTCTTAATGCCTACAGGAAGAGATTCTCCATGAAGCCTTACACTTCCTTTGAAGACATGACAGGTGAGAGAAATGCAATATAACCTGCAAATCCCAATGCATGTAGGTGGAGGAGATGACGTAAAAGGATTAAAAGGGAGATTATCAACTTTCCTACGTAATACTAGACTCTTGCTTCATTGTTTCGAAAAGCCACTGAGCACAGCTCCTGGCGGCGCTTAGTTATTGTTAAGGACCTTCTTTTGGACTTTCACCCCAGCAGTTTGGGTGGTTGGATATTTATTTCTACTACTGTAAGAGGTATACGTGTATTTCATCTTGGCATAATGTAAGCAGAATGTCATTACATAGAGCAGAGATATAAACTTACAAGAGAGACCTGCAGCTTCAGGGAGAGATAAAGAAAAACAATCCCAAGAGCTTTATTGTTAAAATAAAAAGGTTAACCTTTGGTAGTATCTACGGAAGCAACAGGAGGGTCAAACTGGTCAAGACAGATGAGGCCACAAACTTACAAATTTTTTGTCTTTTTCTCTACAGGAGACAAAGAAATGGCCGCCATACTGGAGGAGCTGTACGGCGATGTTGACGCCGTGGAGCTTTACCCCGGGCTGCTGGTGGAAAAGCCCCGACAGAACGCCATCTTTGGGGAGACAATGGTGGAAATGGGGGCTCCTTTCTCTCTCAAAGGCTTGATGGGGAATCCAATCTGCTCCCCGGAGTACTGGAAGCCCAGCACCTTCGGAGGCGCAGTCGGCTTCGACATCGTCAACACCGCCTCGCTGCAGAGGCTCGTCTGCAACAACGTTCGGGGTCCCTGTCCGGTGGCATCCTTTTATGTGCCTGATGTCAAAGACACTGGATCGATGACCATCAACTCCAGCACGTCTCACTCGCGCAGCAGTAACATCAACCCCACAGTCATTCTGAAAGAAAGGACTTCTGAACTCTAGATGCTGATTTTTTTTTAAAATAGAGATCTTTAAAAATTTTATTTATTTATTTATTTTTATATTTATAATGCTTATGTATTTAAGATTTCTAAACAGAGTTTACATTGTCATAGTTGAATAACGATAGTTCAGTGGGTGAAATGGACGTAAAGGGAAGTTCAAACCCCATCAACACCTCCTTTCTCTGCACATCACACAATTCTAAACTTCCACCATAAAAGAGGCGAATCCAAACAACGCCCC